GATGAAGAGTCACTACCTCATCAGTCGATTTGGCATATTTACCTGGTACTTTATTCTTAACCCAGGCCTTGCTTACTGCATGGTCCAAAATTATCTGAGCAATAATTCGAAGACACCTGTTGTCGAATGCACCAGTAACCTACAAATATCCTTTACTCCTAATGCCCATGTTCCACATCCATATAGTAGACTGAAGTAAAATTCTGCACACTAAACTCGCCCTTCGTTTAGAACATTGATATCTCGCCTACGTCACAAGTGACGCAAGTTGGCATAAGCTAATCGAGCTTTCTGAATCCGTGCCGAAATTTTGTCAAACACAAACAATGGTTGTCTAAATAAATCAACCCGTGATGTAAACAATGAAAAGTTGATTAGTGGAATACAAATCCAAATGTATATTCTTTGTTTCATGAAAAACATACACACTAGATTTCTCCTTTTTTTACTGCTTAATTCTCCCCATTGTATTAACGTTTTTTCTGTGATATTTAAACTATTACTACTACTACTATCCACCACCGCCTTTTGCTGTTATCCGAAATGATTTTGCTTATATGAATGTCACTATGGCTATTAGTCATTACAAAACGAGACGAAACAAAACAAAAAAGGTGGAGAATACACAATCCCTTATAGAATACAAAAATTCAATGTATTTTTTTTTATATCTCAAATGGGTGTCTTTTTTTTATAGCTTCCGTTGTCTCAGCCTTCTGTTCCCTTATAATAAATAGGATTATCATTATTTTGCCCATTTGTGTTTATGACTCAGATAGTCTGGGGATTAATAGTTATCTCGATGTGTACTTGTCATGTAGACGATATATATATATATATATATATATATATGCATTATCAGCTGATTAAACATACTTGTTGTGACAAGGCATTTACGATGATTAATATTAGTCGACTTGATAGTTAGAGTAGATTCGTTCCCATTTTTAAAACTGTATATATGTTTACATTGATGTATGTGCATATGTGTTAATATGATTATTAGAATGAAAGTCCAAAGTATGGTGTATAAAGTACGTATTACTATCATCCCATTGTATTGTCTACTTTAATTTGTTGTCTTTCATGATTATCACCAGTATTAATAATAATAATAATAATAATAATAATAATAATAATAATAATAATAATAATAATAAATAGTAATAATAATCTATCAGCACGAATGTATAAAAATGAATTGTTTTTGATGAAATTATTTTGTGTAAAACTATCCTATTTGATTTGTACTAATGATCTCTTCATAAAAGGCAATTTTCTATAAATACTAACTAATTAAATGAATTTCAGATGCAATGTAGTGTACGCCTCTTATGTTGACAGATATAAGTAGTGTGTTGCAGGAATTGGAAATGAAATGCTTATCAACAGATGTTTGAAATAAACAGAAGAGGATGGTAAATAGAGAGCAATCGGAATATAAAGATGATGGAGTATGTAAAGGAAAACTGAAGAGATCTACAAATTATGTATTTAATGTATGATTCTCATATTTTACAAAAACATTGTGTGATTTTACATTACTCAATAAATTGCTTATCCTCAACAATTTAAACAATTTATTGTTTACTCTTACCCTCAAATGCCGTGGTACGGCCGAAGGCGGGAAAAATTAACTCTCTTTCTCAAAATACTCTCACATGATCTCATGTATACAGCCTCTTCCAGGGAAGTCCTACTCATTGCCTTCTCGTGGCGGGAGTGTTGTTTACGAAATTGAGAGAATGAAAAGCGAATGTCCGACGCTTTAGTCGGGTTGGTGGACATGGATAGTCCACCTAGGGAAGTTGGAAAACCCTGATTCCATACCAATGGTGCACATAGGCTGGCTCCAGTATCCTGATGGAACAAATGGCCTATGAACCAATTATTGGTCACCGACTATCATCAGACTGCATCTCCTAACGTTGCTCCACTGCCTTGTGGATTAGACCTTTAGGTCGAAGGCTCCGGGTGTGACCCTCTGACGAAACCACCTGCTTCAGTCTGAGCGCTTGAGCAGTATTATAGTCCACACACAAATCAAGCTACTTGTGTTGCGCATATGTATTCAGTGCCCCTTTGTACTAATATTTATGTGTTCAAATAAATAAATAAATGAAAAATAAGTTTATTCCCACCAAGTCTTCGTTCAATACATACATATAAATTTTGGTATAATTAAATTTTCCCATGTTATTAAGTAATTTTCAATGATGCTTATATAACTTACATATACTAGATACAAAATAATTTACCGAATATGGAAATGAAAATAGTTTTTTTTTAAGTTCTCCCAGCTTATATCATCAACCAACTAGAATACTAACTCTACAAATTGTATTTGATAAACATACTGAAAAAAATTTTTGTCGGATGGAAACATCTTTCAAAACATGGTTACATTCAAGTTACATTATATTAACTGTGTGGGTCTACTGTTTTATGTTTGCATGGTAATTTAAAATGTGAGGTTAACTTTCTGATCCGAAACTGTTCCAGTCATAATGTCTTCATCAACTGCTATGATTAACACATCTATATACTACATTTACCCAATCACTGTCTACTTCGACACACAATGGTCATTGTTTTAGTTTAGTAGATTAAAAGAAACCTAAAATCGGTTGATCTAAGATATAGAGTCAGTTCATCAAGACATTCCTTGATACTCTGAGTCATGTTGCTATATGTAGACTGTCTAGTTAAAGTTTTCACAATTATGGTTTCGTAATATAATCGCAGTCGTTCTCACTAATGTATGTGCTTACCTTGATTGTCTACCCTTAAATATTAGGTTTCTAAAATTATCTCATATTTTTTAAAGAATGAATTCATTCGATCTACTAAATTCATATTATCGATACTTGATGTTTTCTACTACCACTGATACTGTTACTACATGTCTTCTACTCGAGTAATTTCATCCCACTGCGTTGTTCTTTCTATTATTTTGATTACAAGTTAAACTTACATAATTGATGCATATTTATACCTTAAATTATTATTCAATGTCTACTTTATAATCCACAAAATAAAATTATTCAGCCATTCCGCTCTTTCTTTTTTTGCTACTGTCGGACAGTAATTCCTGTTGTGTGTGTGTTTTTTTTTTTTTAATATTAAAATTAATAAATAATAATATTGCCATTATTAGTTGTAATAATTTCAATGAAAAACAAACAAACAAAATTTTCATTTTGTCATACACACATTTCAAAGTTCAATATTATTCTTTCTCTCCCCCCCCAAGTTTGAGTACTATATATACATATATCAGTCGTGTGTGTGTTTACGCACATCTATAAACATTATGGCTGTTTCCGTCCATTTGTCTTGGATAAATAATGAATATTAAAGATACGTATTATTATTATTATAATAAGTAAATGAAAATTTATTTTATATGAATAGAGCTATTTATCATTTTCATAGTCTATACCGAAATTACATTTTTCGAAACAAAAAATATATATCCTAACAACAATAATAAAAAAAGAGAGAAGATTATTAAACTAATTTTTTTGTCATTAATTTTCGTCATGAGTTTTAAATTTTTGAGGAAATCATGTCATATTATATGAATTTAATCAATTATCACTAAGTATAGTAATCGGTGGCATGATTGTATCTAATCTTGCTTAGTGATCATTGAATTCTATTGATCAAGCTGTAAGGCATCTATTAAGTATCCAAGTGATTTAAACTTGCGTTTGCTGTATTGAGATGTTATGTATTTGGAGTTAATCGATAAGGAACGCTGAAAATAGATTTCTTGTCAGTTGAAACTGGAGGGGGTGGAGTTAACACTCCCTGTTAGATTTGAACCCAGCTCACTCGACTTTTCAGTGTATGATGTTGAGTCTAGTTTCCGCATTACAAATCAATAAATACCATTTAATCAACACTGATGATATGATATCGGCTAATAATCAATAGCCAATCAAACATTTTCCTCTCCAGAAAATCATGAAGTTTTCAGTTCGATCCAATATTACGTTTTGGACTGGATACATTTGGGAAGATTAAAATAACACTTGTTACGAAACAGCCATCTAGTAAACTATCAGGCATTTACAATAATTTCACTGGTTGAAATCATGAATCCATTGAAGCTAGACCACCATGGAAAACCTGGAAGCACTGAACGACCGTTTCGTCCTAGTATGGGACTCCTCAACAGTGCGCAACCACGATCCCGCTCCTCGCGAGATTCGAACCCAGGAACTATCAGTCTCGCGCCAGGCGCTTAACCAACTAAGCCACTGAGCCGGCATCCAACGGTGTTAATGTCTAACTTCAACTTATCTACGAAATTGCGCCACCGTACACCATTGTCTTCAATGAGCTGATATCTCACAACAGACCTGGTTGAACTCCACTGGTAACGGCTTCTCACTAGAACTTCAGTCAGTCACTAGTGAGCAGATGATTATTATTATCAGAAGGGATTGTGTGGAGATTTTAGAAATTTACAATAATTATCTAACTGATTTCAGCTCGTTTTGTAGAGGATTTCCAAAATGTTTATTTTGATCTTTGCATGGAATCAATCATTTAAAATGAAATAAACGATTCAAGTGGTTACTAGTAATAGTAAAAAACATCTTATTCATTAAGCAATTTTGTAACTATGTCTGAACTTAATAGCTTGGTGAATAACCTTTTTGAATACGTATATAGTAGATTAGAATCTCAATTTGAACATTTATACTGAAATACAAAAATATTCGTATTTTAAATTCAGCTGCTCTAGATACAATTCATTTATTCTTGTAATAAAATAAATCTATTGATGATGCAATCTTCTGAAGATGAATCTATATCAATAAAGATTAGTCTAATATTCATTACTGAATATCAATATTGTTCACAATTCAATAATGATATCAATATATTGAAAAATTGATTGTTTCTTTTTCTCTCTTAAAAATAAATAAATTTGTTTACTACAAATAATCTAATTCTTTTTTTTTTAATTTTAACAAATCTCGTTTTAGATCCTTTATTGAAATCGGTTGTACAAACAGATTATGGTTATTTATCAAATGTACCATTACCATTCATTATATTATTTCCCTATCAAGCAAGAAAATCACGTAATAATCATGATACATCTACATTAGGAAGACAAGTAAGCTCAACAGAGAGAGGGTTTCCCCTCTAATTTATTACTATTATTGTTATTATTATTATTAATTACTTACGCCTGTTACTCCTCGTGAAGGAGCATAGGCCGCTCACCAGCATTCTCCGTCTAACCCTGTCCTGGGCAATCCTTTCCAACTCTTTCCAATTGTTATTTATCCTTTTCATATCTGCTTCTATTTCCCGATGTAATGTGTTCTTTGGCCTTCCACTTTTTTGCTTTCCTTCACGATTCCAAGTTAAAGATTGTCTCGTGATATAGTGTGATGATTTGCGTAATGTATGTCTTTTCCATTTCGATGGACTTTTCCTAATTTCCTCTTCAGCTGGAAGCTGGTTTGTTCTCTCGCACAGTAGGCTGTTACTGATGGTATTCGGAGAATGGATGTTAAGTATCTTGCGTAGACAACTATTTATAAATACTTGTACCTTTGTGATGATGGTTGTAGTGGTTTTTCAAGTTTCAGCTCCGTTCCTTAGAACTGCCTTGACGCTCGTATTGAAGATAGTGACTTTGATATTGGTTGTTAGTTGTTTTGAGTTCCATATGTTCTTCAATTGTAGGAATGCGACCCTTGCTTTGCCGATCCTCGCCTTTACGTCTGCATCTGATCCTCCTTGTTGATCGATGATGCTTCCCAGTTATGTGAAGGATTCTACATCTTCCGCAGTTTCGCCATCAAGTGATATTAGTTTGGTGTTATCAGAGTTGTATTTGAGGATTTTGCTTTTTCCTTTGTGTATGTTGAGGCCTACTGATGCAGGGGCTGCTGCTACACTGGCTGTCTTTATCTGCATTTGTTCGTGTGTATGCTATAGGAAGGCTAGATCATCTGCGAAGTTCAAATCGTCTAATTGTTTCTGAGCTATCCATTGTATGCCATGTTTTCCCTCAGATGTCGAGGTCTTCATAATCCAGTCGACCACCAGAAGGAAGAGGAAGGGAGAGAGTAGACAGTCTTGTCTGTCTCCCGTCCTTATTTGGAATCCATCTGCACTATTATTATTATACATTATTCGATATTGTGAGATTGATATCATATGAAACCTCTCTATTGGTATATATGTATATAACTTTATGTCTTTGTGAATATACAGTTGAAATGACGTGAAAAATATAAAGAGTTATGAACATAAAATAGTTGTAGAAATAATTCATTGTTTTCTGTTAATACTACTAATAATAATGATATGGATGTTATTTAGCAATATTTTTAGACAGACTAATATATCATTTATCTTCTTTTCTCAATTACACAAAATCGAGGGATATTATAGTTATACTGCTCTATGCACATATACATACACAATCACACACACGCACACGCACATTTAGTTCATTTAACTGTTTTTGGTAACCTTTCTTTTTTTTTTATACATGAAACATGAATGTTAATTCAATTTCCAATTGTTTGTATTAATCTTTTGTTGATATTTTGTTAACTGAATTTAATTCTTGTGTCAATTGCCTTGATATACCCATTATGTCACATACTTTTATAGAATAGTTAGAATGTAAGTAGTAGTGAAATTCATGAAGTATATTACGTCTTATTTCAAACTTGTCATCTAGATTTGTACACCTGCATCAATGTTGTTGATGTTCATACTGTTACCTTACATTTTTTGATCAATCCTATATTCCTCTACTAATCAAATTCCATCTATTCTATATCAAATATGAATACTTTTTCAGGCATAGACAATATGATATTTTGGAATGGAAAAAGTATAAAATAATTAAGAAACTTAGGATATTGACAAAAACAAATAGTTCGTGAATCTGGTGGATCATTGCGAAGAATTTTAAACTCTGTCACTCTAAGTTTTTAACCGTTGGTTACAGTAATCACATGAACCCAATCCAAATAATCTGTACCGAACAACACGTCTCAGTTCAATTATCAGTGTTTCCATGGACTGATACCACGTTTTAGTTTACCCACCTCTACACTTTTTCCAATCTGCTCTTACACCAGCCATCTCAATCTTTTCACTTTCCTTATTGAGTCATATTTGATTCTACTGTTTATTTAACAGATAAACTTTATACTTCTTTCTTCTCAATCTTTGTTGGTTTTTTGTATCTAACAGTTATCAAACGAATAATGATGACTTCGATTATATGTTGACTAATTATTGTTCTATAGTAAATTATTCGATTATAAAAGGCGTCCACCTTGTTAACATTTACACACCTACGTTCATGAGTGGTTCGGTAGTTAAAAGATACAATTTTCCATCAGTTTGTCTCGGACTCGAACTCTCTTCCATCTACTTCAGTTTAGACATTGGTTAGTATCACTAACGTTTACACTTGTGGTGTAACTCGAAGCCAAGTACTCTAGTCTGTACTTAATGTTCAGATGATAATAATGATAATATGATCACTTATGATAAAGATAACATATCTCTTGTTGCATACACCTGTATTTATCGACATAGATACAACCATGTTTTATCTTTCATACTCTTTTTGTCACACATACTTACGTACTGCGGAAATATCTACAAATGTTGCCCATATGTTCAGAAATTGAACGCACCTGTAAATCAACTAGTTTACATATCTTCATGTAATATATATATATATATATATATATATATATATATATATATATATAATTAAACCTTTCGAAACTGTTTAAAACAAAATTTTAGCATATATGATATTCACTGTTAGAGATAATTAAGGTGAATGTCCTGTTGTGCATCTTTTTGTTTATTTTCTTTATTTCAATTTCTTTTATTTACTCCTTTCTTTGATTCTTCCTCTATTTTTCTCTTTTTCTTTGTTTCCTCTTGTTATTTCGCTACTCAGTTTTTTCCTATATATGTATATGTACGTTTAATGTGTATTATCGAAGTGATGACTGTAGAAAATTCTTCTCTATATACATATATACATATAAATTGATAAATGTTGCCCATGGTAATGTTGTCTATTTGTGTGTGTGTGTGTGCGTGTGTATCTGTCTATCCGTCCGTAACTTGCTATTTGCAAGTTGTAGTTGAGACACATTAATTCTGAAATTCCTTTTTCTTTAAAGCAAAGTTTTTAAATTTTTTTTTTTTTTTTGAAAACAATAAAAAAATGTAAATGTATATAAATAAATCAAATCAAACATATTTTGATGCAGTTTCATCGAAATACAATTTTTACAGTAGTTTTAAGAGTAAAAGAGATAGATAGATAGATAGATAGAAAGAGAGAGAGAGCCAGAGGGAGAGAAAGAAGAAAGACAAGATGATATGTAATTGCAATGAACTTTAATTTCCACTTGTTTTTTCTTTGATAATAGGACTATATGTTGTGTTTCATTTTCTTTCATCTATGGGTCGGTTACTGTTAAACATTACTTTGATATTTTAATTTTCTTTTTATGGAAAAGTAAAGAAGAAGAAAAACATAAAAAAAAAACTATACTTCTCCAATTTCATTAAATGTAATGATTTAAGATTGAGTTTTCGGTTGGGATTAACTCAAGATTTGATTGAGATCATTTGTAATATATATTTTTGATTACTGAGCACAGTATGGTTTGTGTTGTTAATTGTGGACTGTTTGCTTTGATTAACTTTATTCTGTTGTTCTGGTTTGGTATGGTAGGTTTTGTTTTAACGTGTGGTTGTCATACATTGATTATGACTAACTACAAACAGGCAAAATTGATGCTTTTACACATGGTAACTATCTATTTCCTATCAAATTTTTGTATTTGTTTTATTCTAAAATCTTATCACAATCGATTTAAATCATGAACCGATCTGAGTTAAACTACATTTGAAAACCTGAAAGCGCTTGATAGTCGTTTTGTCCTAGTATGGGATTACTAAGAAGTGTGAATCCACGATCGCACACGCGGAATTCAATCCAACGGATTTCGTTCTTTTACGCTTGAAGTGATAATATTGTTATTGTATTTTCATATTTTTTATTTTATAAATTTATACATTTAATTTTTATGATGATAAACCAACAAAACGTTTGAAAATGATTTTTATCACGATGTATTTGTAGGTAGGTATAGCCTACTTGATTTTAATATCACCTCGGTTCGTATTCTATTCCATAGATTCATTCTTTTTTCTTGAATCACCGTCTATATTCACTGTTTTCTACCACCACTAATACTGTTACTCCTTCAACCTCTGTGAAGTACACCTTGATATTTTCGTCTCACTATACCGATATGGTGTGTCGACTTGAACCGATTCATTTTTTCCTTAATTTTTGTGTTGTTTATGATTGACTAACTGATTTTTCTTACATCTAATATCTAATTATTAAAGTCGTGTGTGGCACATTGATGAACAGTGGTATCATTCTAATTTACGATGCATTGACATTCACATGTTTTACTGTATTTTTTTTCTGTGTACTTTGAATGTAAAATACTATTGACTATGACTCGATGTGTCCGACTGAACTTTTTTTCTTCTTTCTATGAATTAACGTAGATTAGTTTTCTCTCTACTCATATATATGTATATATATCTCTTCTTTTGTTTATCTATTACAGGGTGGCTATTTTCTAAATACACGATTTTGGCTTACAATGTATAACCAACAAAAAATTGTGTTAAAATTACAAAAATCTCGGTAAGTGTGTATTTCACTTTTGTTTATAACTGTTCATTCAGTTAGAGAGTGTTGGTTAACTGAACTGAATGTATATTATTTTACTGAATTACTTAGTGTAAGCGAATTAAAAAATATTTAAAGATTATGGATTGAGTAAAATTAGACGTTAACACCGTTGGATGCCGGACCAATGGTCTAGATAGTAAGCATTCGAGCGTGAAACAGAAGATTGTGGACGCTTAGTGCCCTGGTACGGCCGAGAGTGGGGAGAGTCCGCTCTACCTCTCCAAATGCTCTCACATGGTCATGCGTATATAGCCTCTGCCAGGGAAGTCCTACTCACTGCCTTTACGTGGCGGGGGTGTTGTTTACGAAAATGAGAGGACGAAAAGCGAATGTCCGGCGCTTTAACCGGATCCCAAATCAATGGCGCACATGGGCTCCAGTATCCTGCGGGAACAAATGGCGTATAAACCAATCGTTGGTCACCGGCTACCATGGGACTGCATCTCCTCACGATGCTCCACTGCCTTGTGGGTCAGACGTTCAGGTCGAAGGCTCGAGGTGTGGCCCCCCAAGAAAACCACCTGCTTCGGTTTGGGCACCTAGGCAGTATCAAAGCCCTCACACAAATCAATTGAGATTCGTGTGGCGCATTTTTGTTTGATGCCTTCTTGTACCAATACCTATGTGTTAAAATAAAAAAATAAACAAATAAGGACGCTTAGTGCTGAGCTGTCCCACACCGGGACGAAACGGTCGTCCATTACTTACAGGTTTTCAATGGTGGCTTAACTTAAATCGGCTCGTGGATTCGACTGTTTACAATACAAAAATCTCCGCAACTCCCCGTAATGAAAAAAAATTGAAGAAATAAACAAAATATTTACTAATGGTAATTAGTAAACAATCACAGTAGTAAATGAAAGTAAACATTTTTTGTGTGTACACAAAAAGCTTGTGAGTAAATGATAGTATCGTGGTAATCCAATCAGGATGGTTATATCACAATAATGATTAATCAATTACTGTTTTATAGGGCTGCTACCTAAACGCTTGATAATGAACTGCCTGGCTGGTTTTTATTTCCTCCGAAATTCTCTTACACTCGAGTCGCGTATGATAGAAAAAACGCGAATTAAGAACAGAAGCTTAGCTTTAATTTTTGTTTATGTTTAGAAAACAATGGTAGCTTATTGTTAACCTTTAACCTTTGGAAATGTTTGGAGGCATGTGAAATTCAGTAAAACAGTAACTGATAACCCGACCACTGTGACACATCCATTAGTTCTGTAAACATTGTTTTGACGTGTGTTAACGTAATGAAACATTTTAAGCCTTCTTCTGGTTTCTAAAGAAAGTATGGAGGGATTCTAAAGAGCTCCCAACATTGTCCTTAACTCAGAGAAAAGATTTTGCTTGAATCTCACTCTCTAAACCTTCATGATCAAACTATCCCGCTTAAAGGTTGTTACTCTACCAAAAAGTAACCTTTAACATTAAGGACGGGAAAATACAAACCTTCACAAATAAAATCGATAGCGGTTGCATGTTGATTAATGTATTTAGTTTACAATTAATAATAGATTTTAGATTTCAATGCTACTTCGTTTATTGAGTTTCAGACAGTCGAATAATAGTGTCAGTAGCATTTCACTAATTAATAATATAACTCAAAATTGAGTACATAAAACTATTTTTTGTTTTATATTACATGAAGTTTCACAAAGTTTATTTAAAAAAATTTATCCCTAGCTATTTTGTCACTGACTTGAATGTGACCCGGATTTAATGAGAATGATTCGTTATTGTGAAAATGTAGTTTGTAAATGTTAAACAAAGTGTGCTTGCGGAAAACACGTTTTATTCATTTAAACATAAACATTTTTACAAAGGGGCACCAAAATATAGATGCACTAAACAATAAAAATAAGATTATGAAGTCAGTCAGTCAGTCAGTAACAACGTGAAACTTCTCACGTACGTACATCAGTTCGAGTTGCCACACCACATTAGTACAGAGATGCAGTTGTCAATTCAAATCCCATAGTGGTAGAAGTAATAAGAGTATAAGTAGTAGTCGGAAACATTAGGTTTCGAAGATGTTATTCAAGGAGTATAATCCAGTGAAATAAATTTGAACAGAGAAAAAAAAGAGACAAGGAGAATTCATGAGATTAGAATTTGGGAGAACACGAAGAGTAGATGCACTTTCGCCATTGCAAACGATTTTGAGCCATGTCATTTAAGGTGTCCAACCATCGGTTGCTATCCTCTCGCTGATCCCAATCAGGTAGTCTACACCTACCAACATGGTTCAGTCCAGTTGTCGGTGACTTCATGGATTTGTGCCATGTTTTGGTCTGGCCGCTTCTAGCTTTCTCCCAACCTACCCCTATACCAGTGAACATCGCACGTCGGGGCAGTCGGTGATTGCGCATTCGTAGCACATATTCTAGCCATCTCGACTTCATCAATCGATTTGCCATCCTTACCTAGTATCTGTTACCTAACAACTGCGTTACTTATGAGATAGAGAAAGGAAAGTTAATTATAATAAAAAAGGGGAAATATGAATAGAAATTAGTGTATGAGTATAAAACATAAAGATAATTGGAGAAAAATACAACCAGGATGCATTCTTTCAGTTGTAGAAATTCCTCTCATTTATATGAAGAAAGTTAAAGCAGGACTATCACTGGCTTCTACTTTGAGCCATAGCACTTAGTGTTGTGTCGACGTATAATCGCTCAATACTTACTGGTTTATAAGTGTGAAGAATCAGGATTAGGATTTACAGCTTTACGTTAGGGCTAGAAATTAGATTCAAATTTTTCATCACGAACTGACATGAGCAATAATGGCAAAATGTTATTTAACCAAATGAATGGATGAATTTCGCGCCAAAATTCAGGACTTGTTTTCTCGAATTTGATTGGTTCGTCCATAAATAATAGTCTTACTCCTACTCTGTTTTTTTTTTGACCGAATTTAATTAGTGATGGAACGTTTTCTTCACTTTGCTCAATTCTTTCATACCATATTTGATTAAATCATTTCATAATAATCTTCGTCTTGCTTACTTTTTAGAATATTTAGTCACGCCGGCAATTATTCCACCTTGTATTATCAAAAGAAAAACGATGGACATATGTACGAATTTGAATCAGATGTATGTTGTTTGGTTTTTGTTTTTCTTTTCTTTTACACAATAAATCATGAAGCATATTTACCCGATAGATTACTTTGTAGTTTGTCAATCATCACGTATTCTGATTGATGAGCTTTGTTTACTTGACATATGAGTAAGTTTGAAAATCCATCCGTAGCTTCTACCTTGAAGTGGCGTTCAGAATTTCATATTTTGATGACCCAATAGAGATATATTGACTAGAATACTCGTTTCTTTAGATTCTACCATGCCATAGAAGTTGCTTGGAAAGCGGTAAAACCAAAAGCAACAAAATCGTAATCCGAAAACGAAGTCGTTCTCCCGACCGTATAGTAATGTGGTGGTGATAAGATGTTTCTATTTGATAGTCACTATGTGCATGGAGATTGATTGCCTTCAATGAAAGGAAAGAGTTAGAGAAGATCGACTAGAAATATTGAACATCTCGCCTTACCCCATAGACTTCCGTCGCCAGCAACAAGGCTTTAGAAGTTCAGAGCTAACTTTTTTAAAGCTACTTGAAAAATGGGTGTGTCTGACCAGCTTCAAGCTGTTGTCTCCTAGACACTATGTTCACGCTTGCAGGTCTCTGAGAACACCACTAATCTAGTTTCTTTTTCAGGTCCACGATAGAGAACAATTACCTGTTAGTGATGTGAGGAACTTGAAAGTGTTAACCACTTTCATAACTCTAACAGCGAAGGAAATATCTAAAGGAAAATATGCTAAGAACTACAGTGGTTTCTGTTAGAGTTTCATTATTTAGCATATTCCGTTTTCAACTAACGTATGGGTTTTTACACTTAACACTATCTTGAAAACATTCAGTTTAAAGAAGTCCAAGATTGAAGGGCTAATTCATCCATTTTAAAAATAAAGCATTAACACAATTGCCTAACGTCTAAATGTAAATCCTAATCCTAATTAATTACACTAATTTATAAGTTTCTTTTAGCCCTAGTAAGTAGGTGAAAATTTTCAAAATTACTTTAGCATCACTCAAAGGTCGTCCATAAATTATAGTCTCCCTGTAAACTCAAGTGAATTTATATTATTTCAATGAATAGAAGGTAGAAGTTCTGATCTATCATTGCCCCCAAATGCCCTGGTACGGCTGAGAGTGGGTAGAGTCCGCTCACCCTCTCAAAATACTCTCATATGGCCACGCGTATATAGCCTCTGCCATGGAAGTCCTACTCACTGCCTTTACGTGGCGGGGGTGTTGTTTGCGGAATTGAGAAGACGAAGAGCGAATATCTGGCGCTTTATCCGGGTTGGTGGACATGGAGAGTCCATCTATGTGAGTTGGAAAACCTTGATTCCATACTAATGGTGCACATGGGCATCAGGATCCTGATGGAACAAATGGCGTATGAACCTGTCGTTGGTCACCGGCTGCCATGTGACTGCATCTATTGACGTTGCCCCACTGCCTTGTGGATCAGACCTTCAGGTCGAAGGCTCAGGGTGTGGCCTCCTAGGAAAACCACCTGCTTCGGTTGGGCACCCGGGCAGTATCACAGCCTTCACACATATCAAATGAGATTTGTGTGTCGCATATGTATTTGGTGCCTCCTTGTACTAATATCTATGTGTTAAAATAAATAAATAAACAAGAATTCAATATTTATTGTCAGGATCGACTAAGTAATAAGAAATGGAAACGTGTTGAAATACTTTGTGCTGACAATTCTATATTGTACCAAAAGTATAATATTGCATAAAACCATTTATTATTATTTCCTACGTTATTTTTGACATAATACTTCTATATATTCAGGGCTCAATTCCTTTAATACTATTTATTCAAATCATGATGATTATGCTTACAAATTTGCATTTATCGTCTATTTCTTTCTTTCTTTAATTATATAGAAATTAAAAAACTGCTATTACACTGGTACAGTAGTGAATCAAACAGAAGATTACTTGAATTTAGATACTACTAAATCTACTAATTATGTTGCTGTAAATACATGTTTTGGTTTGAAGTAAGTCGATGTAATCTTTCTGTCTCTTTTCTTTTTCACATTTTTTTTACTTGATACTCTTGTGGTGTGGGTTACTTATATCCAATTAAGTAGTATATAACGTTGATCAGACATAGAATATATTTCAGTAGAACATCAATAAGGAAAGAACGGGAACGGAACGAAATTGGTATGAAAATGCATGAATAATAAAATCTGAGACAATCGACTGATATTTGCAAAAGGAACAGTGAAATTTGAGACGATGGATTGATATTTTTCAAATTAACGATTTACTATAGGTTCTCAGATTTTATTGAGATGCTCTGTAATTTTGTGTCAAATACATTCGGTTGTCTCCACTCGTGTTGTTATTCACTGCACCATTAACAAAGCAACATTAAAGAACAATAGTAGTGTGTTGATTATGATAAGTTTAGAAATCTGTTGGTTAAATAAATATTTAACCAGAATCAGGATTTCTGAAGATCATAGTAATTTTTAACGATTGAATTCGTCAATCGATCAATATTAGATCGACATTGAAAACTTGAAGGCATTGGATAGCCACTTCGTTTTAGTATGGGGACTCCTCAACTGTCCATATCCACAATTCCGACTCGAACCCAGCACCGTTTGTTTCAAACATCATCGCGTTATCTACTTAGCTGCTGAATCCAGATTGCCACTAGCTTGTGCAATTAGAAAGTCGTTCAACTTTCGTTTGGTACTAATTGATAAGTCTCGCTAATTATATGTTCCTTCTGATTGCCTAGCCGCTTTTAACAATCCCAGATTGAATCTGCATGGCAACTTAAACACATGTGAAATGCACAAATTTCCGTGATAAAATTTTTCTCGACTCTCAAAATAAATCCAAATGATTTAAGAATACATCATACTTTATCTGATTTATTCCTAGTTACATTTGTATAATTCGAACTGTTGTATTTACCAATAGCTTACTTCTGTAACTTACCATATGAACATAGATTCGCCGTATATTGCGCAATAAAGCATCCATAATGCTTCTTAAAAAGTGAATAGATGTTGCACACACAAGTGAAATTTTTGAAAAAAATCAGTTTCATATGTCGTTCGCATATTAATTCATCAAGTTTATACTTGCTATATCACTCGGATAATCCAGTTTCAGCAGTATGAGACACATTTACCACGATACTATTCCAACCATGATAAGTCGTTAAGTTTTTAATATAGATGTTTTGAGAATATGTATATAATTAGTCACAGCTAGACAACAACAAATCCAAAATAGAAAATTTATAAGTAACATTAACAAAGACAACTTCAAGCTATGAGTATCCTACTTTATATCTCTTTTTAATACTAATTTTTTTATTTACCTACCACTGGAAATTATGCACATACTCACGACTTCACATTAAATCAAATCCATAATCCGTAGTTTAGTCGAAAAGATTCTGTGGAAATTGCTTCAATTCGTTGTTGTTGTTGTTGTTGTTGTTGTTGTTGTTAGGGGACCATTGAAAATGAAGAAACATCGACACAGTTGCTGTTTTATGCTAGTATTTAACTCGTGTGCATCGCTTCTGTATTACCCCACCAACATTGGATGATGATTGCTCATTATCTTCAATTAATTGAAATTTAGAAATACAAACTATTAGATGCCTAATTAGTTACCTAAAGATTAAGCGTCCACAACGAAAATTACAAGTTCTCGATTCAATTCTTGCTTGAGTCATGTGCGAGTATTAGTTTGTGTATGAGTAATAATACCATACAACTTAAAAGCTACTATTCATTACTTGTTGGTTTTTAATGGTTACTCACTAATAAAATTCATCTAATTAATAATTAAAAACTATTTGTCTTTAAACAAAGAGTTAAAAAACCTTAATCAACCAATATATTTATTCATCTTTTGTTTTTTTTCCCTCACTTATTTTTAGTGGTATCATTCATTATGCCAATCAAACATATGGTATACGTCCATTGAATTGTAAACAATGTGATTCAACAGCCATTCCACATTTACTATTTCCACATCGATCAAAGTTGATTAATCGAGGTTTGTGTTAGTTAGTCTTTGTTCTTTCATGCACTTCATGTCATTTTCTTTTTTGTTTTTGTTTTGTTCTCAATATAAATATCTAATTTAAATCAGTTTTACTTAGAATAAATCGCTTTATGTGCTCGACTTTAAGTTATTGCATTTATTAGGTAACTGATTCAACTTTTCAGCTACTTCAACTAGAGTTGACGAAAAATATATGGTGTAAATCAGTAATCCATTAATTTTCCGGCCTACTTGAATATCTGGGCTATCCGTTCCTGACATCTAGATATTTCAACAAGTTATCCGTTTTTTGTTTGTTTATTTTAATACATCATTATGTCTATTAATCGCATGATCTACCGAAAATATAATATTAAATAAAACTAATAATAATAATAATAATAATAATAATAATAAGAAGAAGAAGAAGAAGAAGAAGAAGAAGAAGAAATGGTTTTCGGTACAATGTAGAATTCTCAACACAAAGTATTTCAACACGTTTCCATTTCTTATTACTTAATCGATCCTGACAATAAATATTGGATTCTTGTAATGATATTGACCAATTGTCTTGTAAACCATTTAACCAGGATTGTTGAATTGTTATTACACCATAATTATGATATATCTTTAGACTTAATGGAAATTGAAGCTAATCAATTTTGTCAAATAGTGTTGATCATCAGCTAGATGTTAGTAGTTTAGGAATCGACATCTGAATAATGTCCATTCATTTTAATGCATATTGCCAGCAATTATGAAATGTGTGATTGTACTATTTTTATATGTTGTACATTAGAAGGTTGTAAACTTTTCATAAATAGTCTTATCACAGTAGTTATCACTTCTTGTTAACGTTTTTTTATAAATCATGATTTAATATGTCTTAAATTCAATTCATAATATTACGTAATGTGTTTATAGTTATTCTGAAAATCGATCAAAATAGTACAAATACATTTACTTATTATACCATAAAACTTATTCTCTCTTCTTAAATCAGTTTGTCTATATTTAACTTTTTTCTTACTACTATTAATACTACTGTTACTACAGTTCAACATGAACATATATATATATATATATATATATATATATATATATATATATATATATATATATATATATATTGTTATGATGTAACAACTGGAACCAATATAAACTATATTTGACAGATTTCCAATTTGTTATAACTAACTGATTAACTATTTTATCAATAGTCAACAATGTGTGTTTATCAACCTACATCAATTACTTTTATCCTTACATCGAATAATCTATAAAATAGTGATCTATTCATACAAATATATATGAAAATACCTGATTACTATTATTCAAAATGACAATTGAATCTACCTAATTAGATCAATATCATGATCCTAAACATGACAATTTTAATTAATCTACTCAAGTTAATTTCATATGTAATTTAATGTATATGTTTTACAATTATTTTCCTATGATACGAAGGTCCAACTCCAGATTAAACTATACATAGTTCTCTCTCTTCTTTTCTCTTTATAAGAATTTATCTATAATAATGTTTTTTCATACTTTTAACAAAATTATTTAATAGTTATAATTCTGTGTGAAAATGTAACTAGTGAATAGACTTGATATTGATGTAACAAATAAATTAGATAATACTGGTGGACGTAATCCGTTTCGGGTAGAGACAGGTATCTACCTCAGTACAATTTCGTGGATTGGTTGAGGTTAGACAATAACAATGTTGAATGCCGACTCATTGGTCTAGAGTTAAAGCGTTGATGCACGAAACCAAAGGCCTAGGGTTCGAATCACGTGGGGGGAATCGTGGATGTGCACTACTGAGAAGTCCCACAATAGGACGATGATGAGTCTCCATACTAGGACGAAACAGCCGTTCAGTACTTTCTTGTTTATTAATGATAGTCAAATTAAAATTATCTACACTTTAAGCTATGTAAATATATAGAAATGATTGTATCAATAAATAAAGTCCTAATTATGTTTTCATTATTTTACAATATACACAAAATTGACAAGTCATTCACTGGTCAATGAATGAATGACGTGTTTTCAATAATAAATGTCACCAAAAATTAGTTTATTTACAACAATCTATCTCCATCTATCTTTTCTCGTCAATGTTTCATAGTGATCGCTTTGACATGCCTAATTTATATTGGTTGATACTAATCAAACTGATATTGATAATAATTATTGTTAATTACTTCATTTATTGTATTACTGTAAAATTATGTATCACCCTCATTGACTAATTTTAATTAATTGATTAACAAATTTGTCAATGATTTCATTGAATAATAATAATGCTATTAAAAACTAACTATGTAACAACAACAACAACAACTCAATGATCACACATACACATACTTGTGGTCATACGGTAATTAAACTGTTTACTACATGGAGGAATGTGGAAGTTGTTATATTTTATAGTTTAATATCATAGATTGATAATTAATTAAACAACTATTGAACTTCATAAAACACTGGATTACTTTGATGTTCTAGTATGGTATAACTTAGCATTGGGCACTGCCAACTTCTCCTGGATTCAAACTCAGGATTATCAGGTTTTGCATTGAGCTCTTACTCTCTATCTCAATGAATTATTTAGTGAATCATTAATAAAGTAATTTCAATAATGATAAAGAGAGGATTTCAACTCCTTTTCAACATTTCTCAATGTTACTACTATCGCTCATTTTATGCGAAAAAAAAGAAGTGTAAAGACATTGAACCGTATTTTATTACTTATATTAGTGTTACACAACCCAACATGTTGGATGATAAACATAAATATTTTCAAAGTTGGAACTTGAATTTAGATCTTTATTAAAAATTAAACGGGAAACTCCTTTAAAATGCCTGATACCGGGTATTTATAGTATATTGAAAGTTTTTGAACAGAGTGGCACAGGAATTTGAAAGCAGCTAATATCAATGCTGAGACTAGTTCGTTTTTGCCTATTATACATGTATACCATTGACATTTAAATTGATGGTTAAAGGTAATAGACAGGAAATCCTGAAAATTATACCTATAGGAACTGATGTTTTCTATCAGATTCGATTCCGTCTCATCCAGCTTTATAGTCAGAAATGTTACTACGAAACCATTTCAACGGCAACTGACCTCCTATATTAGTAAGATGTACTTCTAGTTGATTAATCATTGAGTAGTGACCAATGTTATGTTTGTCAAATCTATCCTAGTGCTAATCGAATCCTATCGACCAAGTTTCAATATGAACCCACTTTTAATCTAAGTGATTCGACATTTCATGCACTATATCGAATTATTTGAGATGGTGGTTAGAGAGAAGTTAGTGGACATACAATCCTGGGCTTTGATATGTGGTATTTTTGTCAAAGATAATACATTTTATATCAGAAGGGTTTTTGTTGATATTATTAGTAATTTCAATCGTTGATGTCATGAGTCAATTGAAGTTAAACCACATTGAAAAACCTGGAAGCATTGGATGGCCGTTTCGTCCTATTGTGAGACTCTTCAGCAATGCGCACCCACGATCTCGCCTCGTGAGATTTGAACCCAAGACCTATCAGTCCCGCGTGCGAACGCTTAACTATTAGACCACTGAGCTGGCCGGCATCCAACGGTGTTAAGATTAATTATAAACCTTTCTGTAAGAAAAGAAATTAAAATATAACAGTTTTTTTTGTAAAGAAATTAAACAAACTTAATGATCGGAAGAGTTTTCCTTTTGTCAGTAAATAAACACAATTTAATGTATACAATTTTTCTGTCTTTATTAAGAGGATTGTATTGTCTTGTAATTTTTTGCTATTGAATTACAAAATTGAAAATGTTTGAGTGTGTGTGTGTGTGTGCGCATGAATTAGTCTAGAAGAAATGATTCAGTTTCTTTTTTAATTGTACCTGCTTGACATACATAGAGAGTAATAATAGTAACAATAATAATAATAGTCTAATTGCATCTGAATATGATCAGGTATTGTGTGTTTTGTTCGTCTCTATGTTTATGTGTATATAGATGTGTGTGTGTTCATGTTTGTGTATGTTTGATAGTTTTCATCTCCTTTCTTTTCTTCTTCCTCCATAGATTGATTACACTATCATTTTGTTCTTTTCCCATCCTTGCCTACCTCTCTATCTCTCTCTTACATAATATTTTTGACCCTGTTTAATTTAACGCATAATTTTTTCGCTTTTTTTTCCCGTTTTCTGTAGTCAGCAAATTAACATTCATTACTGTATATTAATTTCTATGTAATTTTGCTTACTATTAACTTATTTTGTAGATTACTTTCTTTAAAATACAATTATTGTACTTTTTTGTTCTGTATTCATCATTTGGTTTTTGTATGTATCTGTATATGTGTGCGTGTGTGTGTGTTTGGAGAGTGTTGTATTGTCTACAAATGGAGAATTGTTGAAAATAAAATAGTACTGGACAATTGATTTATCCCCGTTCGAGATTTGTATGTGCCACTATTTACCTACCGATCACACATGAAATAGAACTCATTTGCACTTTATTGTACATTAACTGTGATTCTACCGAATCAGTATGTTCGTTAAGTGTTTGTCTACGTCATGTTTATAAATATAAACTATTTTTGGAGTTCGCACTATAACTGCTATCAGTAGTCAGAGATATTGGATGACATGAGTCACAATCGACTACGGCAGTTCAAATGTTTAGACTCCCTGACCTGACTCTAGATGTACAGTTTCGGTTTTCCTTTTTTCAAATCATATTTTCGATTGGTATATATTGGGTGTTTGGATCCCAGTATGTTTACTTAAATTGACCAAACTTCTGACATATATGCATCCAATGCGAATAGCCTCGATATTTCTATCAATTTACAATGACTCTAGGCGGAGAAGAATGGTGGCCGGCAGTGCAGTTCAGGATGCATGCTTCGTCCTAGTTTGAACTTGTCAGTTGGATGCACCTGCATCCCATAGTTGATATTTGTACCGGGACGTAACCCACATCCTAGATTCTACTGCTAGACATCATCCATATTTTCAATATTTATCTCTGTCATTGCTTGTAGAATTATTTCGAACTCTCTTTTAGTCATCTTATTAATTTAATTTGTTCTGACTGATTAAATGTGATAACTGGGCTTCGTGTACATTTGTGTCCTGGCTTTATGTTGATCATATTTTGCTATACTGATCAGTGTTTTAGAATGTTTAATCGACTCTTCAATGAAAACTTCCAAATTAATCCTCATTAATAGCCTATAATTAAGTAATATGTATTTCCTTGCTTTAAAAGTATTTATTTATTTATGTAAACACATGAACTTTGGTTCAGTCAGGCACCAGATATACATGCACCACACCATTCAATTTGTGTGTGGGCTGTAATACTGCCCAGATACCTGAACCGAGTGGTTTTCTTATGGGTCCACTATACGAGCTTTTGGCTCACAGATCTAATCCAAAATGCAGTCTAACAACGTTAGGAAATGCAGTCCTATGTTTTATACGCCATTTTTCCCTTCGGGATCATGGAGTTCATGTGCACCATTGTTTTGAAATCAGGTTTTTATAACTGCCCTAGGTGGACCCTCTGTGCCGGACCTTCGCTTTTCGTCCTCTCAATTTCGTAAATAACACCGCCGCAGGAAGGCAGTGGGTAGAACTTCCCTGGCAGTGGTTGTATACGTATAATCTTATGAAGACATTTGGAGTTGGAGGGCTGAGTCTTTCCACCCTCAACCGCACCAGTGCACTTTGGAGTTCTAGTCTTTGCAGTTTGTTGCGATGTAACAAGTTGTATCGGCAGTTTTCCATATTCAAACAGTAACTAGAATGTTATTCTTAAAACATTAATTCTTTAGACAAAAGAAAACAACAACACGTCTTTACGTGAAATTCATCCGAAATCGTTTTTTCTTTATGACCGACGAACAAGTGTATAAACAAATTATTGTTACATTTTTAATTAGTTACAAAAATTTCTTTACAAATCGGAGATAATTTACTAATTAGGTTAAATTATGTATTGTGATTTCTTTATAATTATATTGATGATATTAATACATATTCAAACTAAAGATACTTTTATAGTTTACTTCAAAGATTGATCTTAGTTCTATAACTATTGAAAATTAGGAAGTATTGAACATCTGTTTGATCCTAGTATGGAACTGTAATATAAACTATGAAAAATTAGTGACCCCGACAAATCCCTTGAATCTTATCAGAATTATTTGTTCGCTAATGAATAAATTCTAGAAGGTAATTTGCAGAGTTCTAAGTAAAAACTGTAACCACTGGAGTTCAGTCAGATTGATTGTAAGACAGTTAACCATCATTAGTATCAAAATATAGTTGCGCATTACGTATTAACAATTGGATATCTATTCACAGTCCCATACTAAAACGAACTAGCTATCCAGTGCTTCCCAATATTTTATGGTCATCTAATTATATATAATTCATGATGTAAAGTATTCAAATGTATTTTCGCTTTTTCTTACGATTCTATTTCATCAAAATAACTTGCTGCCTTTTGTTAAAATATTGTTCATGATTTCTCACATTACCATTTCATCTCTCCCCTAGTGTCTTTATTTAATAATATTACTAACAGTAATGGTTCTTATATACAATGCATGTAATGTGATGGCCGATGGAATCCAGGACGCACCTTTCGTCCTATATGGGACTCGTCAGGTGAATGCACCTGCCACATTCCAGAGTTTATGTTTACTCTGGGATTCGAACCCAGTACAGTACTGTTTGCTCCAAACGCCATTATGATCCTGTCTTTTTTTTCAAAAAATATGTTATCAATTATGCTAATTTTATACGAACACTACTACGAAGCGAAGTCATATAAGTTTTCAGTGCTGCTTGGAATTCTTAGAGCTTATAATGTCAACTAATGATATGCAGATAGGTAGATATTTAATTTTTTATAATCGATTCCGACGTTTCAAAGAAAATAGCTGGATTAAATCTCACCTCTTTTATAGCATTTAAATAAACGATTTCCTAAAAGACTTATTAAAGAATAGTCCAAGTGAAATGTCTCACTTTAAGTATCTTTTTTGAATAATATTGATTTTGAATTGTATCTTCTTCATAAACAAATGGAGTCCTATATAAGAAAGAAATAATTGTCCATTCCTCATTGGTTTTCAATAGTATTCTATCTAGTGCTAATTGATGTTGAGTACTGTCTAAAAAAATGAAAAAAAAGACATGACCTTCGTGACCCCACACTTTCTCAATTATCTGTACACTACTGAGTAGTTTCAAAATAACCTTGTGAGAATTTTTGATTATTAAATTTCAAAAATGTCAAAAGTAAGACTGTCATCACCCATGACATTACATGACCATGATCCTACTATGTCACTAATTGAGTGGAGTCGGAAATTCGAATCTAAACATTTGGTTTCAACTCAATGGTCTGAATGTAATGCACTGAACAAAATTTTCAAAAAATCCTGGATTCAGCCTTTAGTTGCATCACAGACCAATCTCGCTAAACAGTTACCCAATACTAAGACAAAACTAATTTCTAGTAGTTCCTTATTTTCTCTGTTACCATAGTTGGTTTTAATCCATAACTACATGTTAATACCTAAGAATAGGTAACTAACAGAAAAAATTGCATCAAAGTTAATGAACACTTTACAATTGATTGATCACTGAGTTAGGACTAATTTCATGTATGTCAATTCATATCTAGTGTCGATCGAGTAAGATTTCCTATTGTGAAACTGGGTAACAAGTAATCGAATCCATCAGAAAACATCATCCCTCTTAAGATCACATTTACACCTTGCTTACAAGTAATATCGAATAGCATGAAACCGATGTTGAGAAGGATTTTTGTTTTTGTTTTTGACAATCTCCAACTACCATCTTACATGAATATTTTCTTGACAAAATCTTACATTGTTTAGTCATTGATATCATCAACATTCCATATACATATGATCTGATTAATGAGTTTTTTTTTTCAAACTATTCTTTTGTATTCATATTCCCGAAGGTTTCAATTCATGGGAACCTTTTTCTATTCAAATGTCATTTAAATATCTGATACAGTTTGTTAACTAGTTTCTATGTGGATTTATATATGTAAATCCTTGTTTGTATTTTCCTTTCTCTCTCTCTCTCTCTCTCTGATATTATCATGTTGTGTATTATTTTACAAATAGATGTTCAATTACCAGTATTTTGGCGCCCTACAGATATTTTTAATATAATGAACAGAAAACCTTTAGCAAAAGTTGAAGGACCTCGAATTTACACTATAAATCTTGCTTTAACACTTGATTATCATTTAGTAAGTTGATGTTAGACAATTTGTTTTTCTAATATATTTTTTTTAATAATTTAACTAAAATCAAATTTGAGGCGAATTACTACCGTTTTTCAAGTAGATAAAAACTGACAATTATGTGTTTGTGTGTGTGTGTGTGTGTGAAAGAGGGATTATTGTTGACTGATAATAAAATAACTATCTATGTATAACTAGACTTCAATAAATGGTATGTTCTTTTCATCTGAAATAATATACTATCCTGGTATCAAAAGGTTGATCATATTACATATGAACACGTCTTTGTATTATTTACTAGAGCAACCATCAAGAAAACATACTATACTGTTAAATTGATTCTTAGTGCAAACAACTAAACCATTTATGCCACATAGGATTAAGCGTTGTATAAACAATTGCGTCACATCCCATTTATTTACCGATTCACTTGTTTGTGTGTGTGGGGGGGAAGGGGGTTGACACAAATACGTCAGGAAGAGTAAGTGATCTTCACAATCAAGGTTTATTCGATTTGTACCGAAATGGCTCAAGTCAATCAGCAACGTAGAACTTCTTACGTACGTATATCAGTTCGAGTTAGCTAGCAGCAAATATTCTGATAAACATAGGAATTAGGAAATCATGTTGATCAATAGTAAAATGCGCAATTGAAACAGGACATAGAATTGAACTTAATATATTTTTTAAAGTGTTGTATAGAGATTGTCAAGGATAAGTTCTTTGGAAAAGTCACTTGCCCATTAGAAATCTCTATTATGTGCACAAAAACAATAATTTATCATAATTTTGAATCTCCTGATTTTTTCAACTCCATGATCATTTTATATTGATCCAATTCTGAAATAGGTTCAGTAACGTTCATTAATTTTAAGATATCTATATGCTCTGATAAGCATTATGCGTGTCTTGATTGTTTCTTCGCAATGTACAGCGTAATAATTTTTTTTTAGATCAACTCTATCGTTCTCATTGATATAATGAAGCTAATAAACCGAAATTATTAACTTTGAAAAAGATTAACAATGATGAGAAATTTCTAACCAGTTTAATATAATGAAAAGAATAGTAACTGATTGAGCCAATGGTAAAAAATGTTCGTTTTCAGTTAGACCATAAAATTGTGAATGAGGAAACCATAAAATAACTGTTACTTATACGTAATCATGTTATGAGTAGCATTGATGATAGTCTTGCAATATCTTGAATCGACTGCAGTAACTTCTATATTTGTCAACCGTCCAGCATTGAATTTTGTAACTCACTCGCTAAAAATACTGAACGTTTCGGAAGAGAACTAGAGACAGCCAAATTAAGTTGTGGTATCAGTCCATAAATTCATTGAATGCTTATGTGAGCTGTGTTGTAAAGCGTAGACTACCTGTCTTGGATCTTTCACGATAACCGTGATACTTTCTCATTAAATATTTTTGATACATATTCTCAATGCATAGCCCTTGCCATTATTATTACTACTACAGTATTTTGATTTCTTTGCTACTCATCTTTTCAAATTCATCTGTTCGTGCTGATGTGTTCTGATCACTTAGATGAATGCACATTTTTGCCAAAGCTCCACGTTGATTCATGACGGACCAGTGGAAGGCTGAATGTCTCGAATGCATACTATCGATTGGCTAGCATAAAACTATTTCTCATTGATGATATTCAAGACTGAATTCCAGATGAAACCAACCAATAACACTGCAAATGACCATGGAGAGATAGAATTAAGGTGTCGTAACTATAGGCATACTATTGAGACATTATTAGACCATTATTCTTGCGTGTACACATAAATACACAGATATATGGATATAACAGTTGTTATTTAAGTTATACTCGCTAATTAGTATGCTTTTTTACTGATGTGATCCATATACTACTTAATTTTCTGAAAAAAATATAATCTCAAAAATCTGTGTTACCGCTTGGGAATTTTAACCCTTTTTAATGGATAAACAATCAACCATGTTTATGTATGTTCCAGTGTACATACTGAATGTGTGTGTGTGTGTGTGAACTGATAATGCTGAAAATTTCATCATCATTTATACACTATTGAAATGGAATAATTTGTTTACGAAAAACAAATAATAATCAACGATTTCTTAATTAGAATAATGAATTTTATTATTTTTTTCACATTACTTGTTTTCTTAGTGTTTCGTTTTCTTCTTTTCATATTCTTCTTCTTTTCTTCTTTTTTCACAGTTTTCATCGTTTGGTCATAATCTGGAACGTGGTATTCATTATTTAAGCAATGTGTTAAATCAAGTTACTAAGGTAAGTGTACTTCTGTATGTTCCTGTAGTTAGTAATTATGTCAAATAAGGCACACTAATATATATATATATATATATATATATATATATATATATATATATATATATATATCAAAAGAATCTCATTAAATTCTTCACCAGACCTCGAACCTAAAACACACTTACTCAGGTTTGTTTATCTGGAAAAAAAATTTTCTTTCTGTTAAGTCAATTATTCTCTGAGTTAATGGATATTTATTTATTTCATCAAATCATTGTCGCTGTTATTCTGTGTTTGTTTACTTCTGTAAATTTCATTGCATACTACTGAACATGTGAACGAGATGATTTATTCTTTTCTTTAGAAAGTTGTGGATTTCTACATTCATTGTTTTAATATTACAACTCTCAATAAGAATTTTTGTCAATAGTTGAGATCATGAGTCAGTTGAGGCTAGATTACCATGGAAAATCTGAGGGCACTGGACGGTCGTTTCGTCCTACTGTGGGACTACTAAGCAGTGTGCATCCACGATCAACCGGGTCGGTTGTGAGATAGTAACTCAGTGAAGACAATGGTGGATGTGTCGCTCGATTTCGTGGATTGGTTGAAATTTAGACATTAACACCGTTGGATGCTGGCTCAGCGGTGTAATGGTTAAGCACCCATGCGCGAGACTGTTCGGTTCTGGGTTAGAATCCTGCGAGGCAGTGTTGTGAATGAGCACTGCTGAGGTAGGTGTGCCACAATGGAACGAAACGACCATCCAGTGCTTCCAGGTCTTTCATGATGGTCTAGCTTAAACTGACTCATGATCTCAACAATTAAAATTACTACACTCTACAAAATCCTTTCTGATAAATTTCTTTTGTTTAACTTTTAATTCGTCTGTTTTTTTTCCATTCAACTCTTCATCTATTTCCCTCCCTTTCTCTCTCCATCACTTCGTCGCTCTGTTTTGTTCATGTGTATTTAATTCTTATTTTATGATTTTTTTTTCGTAAATAGAAAAAATTGTTGCGGAAATAAATAGAATAGTAGTTCAATCTAATTTTTCATCTTTTCCAAATCGGTTCCCACTGACAACTTAAGTATTAAAAATTTAATTGATTGTTAACATTTCCTCTTTTTTTTCTGACACTCTTGATTTTGTTAAATAGGACTAAACGATTATGTTGATATTGTTTATTTGTTTAGTGGTAATTCCTTTATTAAATTTTGATAACTACATGTGTAACATGTATGTTATTAGGCATAGTGTTATATCTAGAAATGGTTGATTTACTTGATATAACGCGTACAACTGAACACACGAACGCCCAAACCCTTCCAAGTCGCAAAGAGAAGACAGAAGACTAGTGAAAGGAATGTTATTCCAAACAGTGTCAATTATGGGTACAAATTGTCAGGTATTTATAGTTTTAGTAAGAACAAAAATTATCATTATAGTCCTCCAATCCGCATACAGGGGGTTATTAGCCTTGTCCAATCGGGAAGCTACACGTAGGGATTCTAGAATATTCTTGCTAACGGTGATTGGCTGGAATATCTTCGGCTCCTTCTGAGCCTCTTACCCGCGGTCCGTCGTCACACATAGAAATAGCAACCAGCATATGATGCAGGAGGTCGAACACGTAGAATGGCACCATAAAGTAATATATTTTAAAAATAAAAAAACAATGTAGTCATACGGAGCTTATGGAGAGCTCTATGTTTAATCGTTGAGGTGATTGAAACTATAAGACGTATCTACGATCTTGAGATAACAGTTACTTACTTACTTACGCCTGTTACTCCAAATGGAGCATAGGCCGCCGACCAGCATTCCCCAACCTAATCTGTCCTGTGCCTTCCTTTCTAGTTCTATTTAATTCTTGTTCATTCTTCTTATGTCTCTCCGTTTCTCGGCGTAATGTGCTCTTCGATCTTCCTCTTCTCCTTTGGCCTTGAGGATTCCATGTGAGGACTTGCCTTGTGACGTAGTTGGGTGCTTTCCTCAATCTGTGTCCTATTCACTTCCGGCGCTTTTCCCTCCGCTGGAACCTGGTTTGTTCTGTCCCACAGTTGGCTGTTGCCGATAGTGTCTGGCCAACGGATTCTAAGAATTTTGTGTAGACAACTGTTAATAAACACTTGTATCTTGTGGATGACGGCTTTCGTAGTTCTCTAGGTTTCCACCCCATACAGTAGGACTGTCTTAACATTTGTATTGAAAATTCTGACTTTAGTATTGGTTAATTCAAGTACAGGATTTTGTTGATAAAAATATAATTGAAAATGACAATAACAAATGTATATTTAACTCCAGCCTTAACTACAAAATTCTTTTAATAATTACTTTTTCTTTTCTATTTGGTCATTACCAATTAACTGTTGTTTTCCGAAATACAATAAAATCGTCTATATAGGGTTGTGGAGATTGTTGAGTTTTAAGATCATGAACCGACCAATTTTAGACTACAATTGGAAACTTGGAAGCATTGGACGTCCGTTTTGTGCTAGTATAAGAATGCGTATTAATAATCCTGCACGTGGGACTTGCACCCAGTACTCTCGGTTTCGTTCACGAACGCTTCAACTCTAGACCACTGAGCCGGTATTAACCAACTCGCGAGGAGTCTCACACCAGGACGAAATATTCGTCCAGCAGTTCTAGGTTTCCATCGATGGTCTAACATTGATCAGTTCATGATCACACTAAGATCATTTCACGATTTAATCTGTAAGGACTTAACTAATCTCCAAAACTATCAGTACGTTGATAATAATCCTGTGCTAGCTAGTGATCAATTTCTGGATGCAATTCCAGGAGCTCCAGTGAGTAACATGTTCGATACGAGATATTTATCCGCTGCAACAATTGAAAATGGCTGAGAAATGTGTCACGAATTGACTGAAGTTAAACATATACAAACCATTAGATGACTTAACGGTCTAAAAGTGAAGTGTTGGCGCACCAATCCGAAGTGAGGTCTTGAGTTGTATTCACTGTGAAATAGTTGTGGTGATGAGATCATTTTTATGATTTCATCTACGAATATTCAACAATCTCCACAAAACATTTATACGTACAAAATCAAATATAAAATAGTTTGCATTAATTTCTTTCAATGTGTATATGGGCGTGTTTTTTTTATATTCTCGATAGCCGATAAACTTGACCTGTGTTACTGTTTGTTTGCTTATTAGATGATTACATGTTTGTATACACTATCTGCTAACCTTTGTACATAATTTACACACATATGTACAGATATATGTGTACGCATACTGCTGACCTTATGTGTATATGCTGCTTTTTATCGTTAACATCATTTTACTAATTATATATATGTATTTTTATGTAGTTGTATTGAGAATACATTTACAATATGAGTCATTATGCTCCTACATCATCGGTGCCACCCCGTAGTAGCACATCTGGCCGTTGTGTTTGTTTATTCATTTATTTTCATCGTACATATGTAAACATGTATGTGTGTGTTGTATCTGCACATCCACCCACCCACACGCACACACAGACACATGCACATGTTACTGCAAATCTAATATTAAATGAGAATACACTGATTTATGTATTCCCCTGATGGAATCTGATGATCTATCTCTCATTCAGTCGCTAGCTGTCTGTTTTTAGTTTTTGTAATAGATAATGAGAGAAGAAACAACGAAATTTATAGGGGCACATATTGTTTCTTAGTTTTATTTTTTTTAACCCCTACTTTCAAAATGGGAAAAAAATGAAATGTAAACAACAAGTGTAGTTTTATTTCTTTTTCAATTACATTTTGCCTAACTACAACCCCAGATATTACACACATTTGTATGTAAAGAAATGTGGGTTATGTATTTTATTTCTCCGCACTCATTAACTGTTCATCAACATTTTTACAGATGTATGATTCATAATCACCGTTACTTTATTATTATTGTTATTATTATTATTACTGAGGAATGGTGTGAAATGTTATCTGAACTTGCCTAATTTACAAAATGATGAATTTGACTTCGATGATAGGCTAATGTACTATTGAAAACCAGGATATGTTGTAGAATAGCCTACTGATTCGAGTTTCAGCTATTAAATCGTTGCTTACAACCACGCTTTACTTACTTCAGTTTTGGCAACTGAATAGTCTTCATACTTGGTATATGACTCGAAGCCGGGTCATTAAATTTTTATCCGAGAAATGGGTTAATAATACAATCGTTTGGTTTTATTCTTGGGACTCTTTCAGTGTGTATTCACAACTCCACTTAAGGGATCGAACAAAACTGTATCTTCAAGCTTCATAACGAAAGAGATCCTTTTAGATCACTGAGTTGAAATCTATATCCAAATGCTTGTCGATTCATGATATATTAATACATGACCATCATTCTCATCGATGACAATTGCCTCTTACAACGCTGACATGGTTGTATTCTCCTGACAACGATATCTATTTGGAACTTTAGAAATTCTCTTTGAAGTTAATTCTTGTTGGGAAATGGCGAACAGATGAAAATAACTTATGTTAGCATATATTATCGTAACTATATTTGTCGAGATGTTCGAGAGTCAATGTGTTCATCGTTTTATATGCCTCTTTTCCCCCCCCTCTCTCTCTCTCTCTCTCTCTCGACATGAATGAATAAACACCCTAAAACAACTTTGCCTACAGTCGTATCATAAGTAGCTACTAATTTTTGAACATTTTTTAACTTAGTCAACAAATTATTATTATTATTATTATTATTATTATTATTATTAAGCATACTATATCTTATCATTGTAAACAATTAGTTGGTATTTACGATGGTATATGCATATTCAGATGTGTAGTAGCCTGAATAAAAATAGGTCTATCCGCTGAATTCATCGTCCACCCTACACACATATAGTTACTCTTTCTCTCTCTGTTTCTGTTCTTTTATTTCTCATTCAGTTCTTTTTTTCTTATTTAGATATTTACAAAACGCATTTCACTATTCCACATGTTATCAACTCATTTAAATGCATCTAAGAATTCTCTTTAACTAGAAAATAATTTAGAAGAGGGAAAAAATGAGTTGATGACTATGTACTTATATTTCTAATCATGAAAGCAGTCGAAAATAGTTAATAGTAACACGAACATAAGACAACGACAGTTTAATAAATGAACTTTGAAGTTGATAACGTTAGATATTAATTTTGTCACACTTCACACAGTTGAATTAGTTAGTCAGTCATATACAGCGTCCATGTTTTCACTTCACATTAGAACGGCGAGATATAATTAACCCGAAATAAATCCCATAGTAGTAGTACAAATACTTGAGTATAGAGAGAAAAAAATTGTAAAGAGATTTCGGGATTTACGCTCTTAAGGGAAACAAAAAGTGAACTCAATAGGCTATAGCGAAATAATCTGAATCATGTCACACAAAGTCTTTAACTATTGATTACGATAATCACATGTATCCCAGTCAGGTAGTTTACACTCAATAAAATAGCTCCGATCTATTGACAATGATTTCACGGACTGTTGTCACATTTTGATGTGAAGGCCTCTACCTTTCTTTCAGCCTACTCCTATGTCATACAACATTGCCTGTCAAGGTAAGTGGTGGTTTCGCATATGTAAAACTTTTTTCAACTGTCTCAACATATGAAGAATCAGTATTTCAACGATTGATTTACTATATTTATTTAGTACTCTATTCTTAATCTTGGGATCGGTCATTCGGTTTTCTCAAAATGTATATATGATACTTCGAATACATCTATTATCGAATACCTAGTACTTACGAATATACTCTATAGTAGTAGTTGAATGTTCCCAACATATGATTTCATCTTACACCATTGTTGTGTATTACTTTTTCTTACATTTTTCTCAAATATTTGGTTGTTTTTATTTTTTTTAATTTTCAGTCATTTCAACATGTTCCTGTTGAATTATATTTGATTCAATCAGAAATATGGACTTTAAATGATTTAATTCAATCAAATATTAGCATTAAAACAACATTAAATAATTTTGCTCATTTCATTATTAATCGTCGTAGAAAGTATCATTCATCGACGTTTGTCAAAAATAATGTTGTGAATAAAAGTGATGTAGTAATGATGAATCCTTCTATTGGAAATAATACATTTGGGGTAAATGTTAATGTTTTTTTTTCTTCTTTTAAATTGGAAATTTCTGTTACTTATATTTGTTATCAAAAGGGGTTGTGTGGAGATTTTAGAAATTTCACTGGTTAAAATCATGAGGTAATTGAAGCTAGTAATAATCATCTGCTCACTAGTGACTGACTTCAAGAGATATTCCTGGAGTTCTAGTGAGAAGACATTACCAGTGGAGTTCAACCAGGTCTGTTGTGAGATATCGCTCATTGAAGACAATGGTTTATGGTGATGCAACTTCGTGGATTGGTTGAAGTTAGACATTAACACCGTTGGATGCCGGCTCAGTGGTCTAGTTAGTTAAGCGGCTGGCGCGAGACTGGTAGGTCCTGGGTTCGAATCTCGCGGGGGGCGGGGTCGTGGATGAGCACTGCTGAGGAGTCCCATACCAAGACGGAACGGCCGTCCAGTGTTCCCAGGTTTTCCATGGTGGTCTAGCTTCAATGGGCTCATGATTTCAACCAGTGAAACTTATATTTGTGTTTAGATTTTTCTACAATTAATGACTGATCAATTGCAATCCTAAACATCAATGGTAAGATTCGAATAAACAGTATAAAATGAATTTAAACTTTATCCCATTGCACAAGCTAGTAGCTATCAGGACTTATTAGCTAAGTGAGTAACACAATGGCGTTTGAAACGAACGGTATTGGGTTCGAGTTTCGGAGTGAATATCAATTCTGGGATGCAGGTACATCCAACTGACGAGTACCAAATAGGATGGAATGCGCATCCTGGATTCCTCTGCTAACCACCATCCGTCTTTGCTTATAATGCTTGTGACTCAAGGGAATATCAAGGCAATCCTCATAGAATGCACATATGGTAATAAGAGACTGACCAATTAAAGTCCTAAATATCAATGGGGAGATTCAAACAACTAATAAGTAATGAATTTATAAAGTAACACTAGTTTTATATCACGGACTGATTTTAGTTGGAAAAACATTTAAACTCAGAAAGCCTTGGGTTGGTTTTTCGTTGTGATAGAAGAACTCTTAACAATATGCAACTAGAACTTTATCTAAGATTGGACAAAACACCTCTAGACTTTACAACATACTCTTAACTTACTTAACTCTTAACCACTAGAAAACTGATTTCAGCTGAAAGTCTATTGAAAATAACAAAACTGTCGAACGATCATTTCTGAGTAATAAGCAATTATTTTTAAAGGCATAATACCTTTACTACCTCTACTGCTCTGGTATTTGCTTTGACAATTTCATCTCTCTGTGCTAACAGGGTGTGGCGACTTGAATTGATGTATACATGTGCCACGATTTACGTTGGGTTTGACTGATGACTAAAATGATAATGATATGATTGTCATACAATTAATCAACTACAAACTTGATTGATCAAATTTTCCTTAGTGATAGCTTAAATCAATATAGACTGCGCGGTGTTCGAAACTGTAACTTACTGGTTGAAGCTAAATTCTTAAACTATTAACCCATCTGTTCAGTCAACCAGTTCGGGAATGAATCAGTTAGTCTACTGATAGGATCAAATGATGATCATATTATATATACTGGAATTAAAAAGTTGCAACAGTTACATATTTTGACCTAGTGATCTAAATATATCATACTCTCTGCGAGATACTTGAAAGATGGTCTTGAATCCAGACATTAGTAGTAAATTCTAAGTTAAGTATCAAATACCCGATCAATCTGATTTAAAATCATTCATGTCAGACCATTTATTTAAACGCATAAACATTGGTACGAGGAGGCAACAAATATATGTACTCCAAACTCCGTTATTCAATTTGTCCGGGTGCCCAGACCGAAGAAGGTGGTTTTCTTAAGAGGCTACTCCCTGACCTACAAGTCTAATCCACAAATCAGTGGAGCAAAGTCAGGAGATGCAGTCCCATGGTAGTCGGTGACCAACGATTGGTTCATACGCCATTTGTTTATTCAGAATCCTGGAAGTCATGTGCACCATTGGTTTGGAATCAGGGTTTTCAAACTCCCCTAAGTGGGTCTTCCATATCCATTAACCCGGTTAAAGCGTCGGGCATTTGCTTTACGTCTTCTCAATTTCGTAAACCATACCTCCGCTACAAGAAGGCAGTGAATAGGACTTCCCTGGTAGTTAACTGTGTACACGTGGCCATGTGAGAGCATTTCGAGAGGGAGAGCTGAATCTCCTCACCCTTAATCGTACCAAGGCATTTGGGGGCAAATTATTGACATTTTGCGACTTAGTTTAATTCAGTTCTTCAGCGTTAATAAGTAGGTAATCGAATCCGATTAATACAAATGGTACAGAGGAATAAGGAAGAATATTTAGTGTAATCAAAATCAGTATTACACGATACTAGCACAATCAGACTCATTTTGATTTTGATTGAACTAATCATTCTGCTTTCTATCTCTATTCTATTTAAACTTATGTTAATGTAATTTGGTTGTTTACATATCACCTTTGAAGAAGAAATCAGAAATTCTAATATCTACTCATTGTAGGATATCGCAAATGTATATGTATCTCAATACTTCTATTATTAATGATCTAACCAATAATCAATTTGTTTGTGATGATCAAGTCAAATTTTGATAATGTTGTTCACTCTTGTTTAATAATTTTTCCCGATATTTTGTTTTAGCTTCATCGTATTCATCGAAGATCAATTAATACTAATGATGATATTCTTCGTAAAATGTCTTCATCCACCTCATCGTCATCTTTAAATAATCCATCTTTGTATACAAAACATTTTGATGTACAGTTATTACTCACTGGGAAACGATTTACTGATCCAGTAGAATATATAGCCATACCAGATAGTATATGTACACCAAGAGCTGTAGGAATAATCCAAGTGAGTAGTAATATTAGTAGTACTGAATGTTTTCTTTTCGTTTCCCCTTTGTCGTTTGTTTCTGTTTTCATATCGTTAACAATAGTTTCGTGTTTGGAAATACTTATATGATTAAACAAAATACATGGAGTAAAATTGTAGGAGTCACACTTCATCCTGTATAAGACTCGTTAACTGGATATATCTGTATCTCATATTTAATCAAAATAAAGACGTAATAATTATAATCAGAACAATTTGACATTTTTAAGTAGGTTTCGAAAAGATAAAATGAAAAATTATACTTAAATGAATACTAGATTACAAAACCTAGATTAAGTTGCATGTTGAATACACCCTTACCCATGTGAGAGATTTTAATCCGTGACAACAAACATTACCAACTACTGATCATTGCTCTGACACAAACTAAGATACTTTTTATTTGTCAACATGGCTAAAACAAACAGTCAATGAATGGGACGCTATTATTTTCTTTCTAACTTACTACAACATTAGTTAAATTGGCTGGACTAGGTAGGCGGAGATGTTCTAACCATCTCAGTCGATGAAAACTTTTATGTAACCTCAACACTGCTCACTCGATCATACTAATTTACGCGAAAAACGCTTCGAAGATACCTATAATTAAAAACTTTCTATCTACTCAAGTTTTATATTTTCATTACCCATGTATCACAATTATAAGATAATACAGAATGAAGTGTTGGATAGTATAACTGCCTTCAGTTTAGGCGAGTAACATTTGTCCTACACTGAACGTGACACAAGTTGGTAAATAACAAGTGTAATGAACGATCTGCATACCTAGCTCCAAATGAGCAGGTGAAGTGATCTATTTATATCAAATTAGTCATTTATGGCAGCTTACTTTATTCCATAATTATCTCCATCTAATTACTTCTTGTTCATTGCATACATACACAGGAGTATGAAATCTTTTTTCTCTCTCTTTCTTTCTTTCTCTCATACACATATAATCATACATAAGTGCATTGTTTCATGTCAATTTATCACATTCTACAACTACTGGCCATATTTCATGGGTAATCACTTTTAGATAATCATGATTTTATAATAATTTCTATCATGTCTACTACTATCTTATTTTCTTATTTAAAAACCTTTCTTTCTTTATTTTTATTGTTGAGACAATCTTTTCCTATTATTATTATTATTATTATTATTATTATTATTATTATTATTATTATTATTATTATTATTATTATGATCATTATTATTATTATTATGCAATATATCTGTACTATCTGTTCATATGTGGGTAGGTTGGTTAGTAAGTAGGCAGGTGCCTTACTGCCGCCTCGTATTAACTGTTTATCATTATTATTATGATTATTCTCCTCGTTACTTGTCTACTTGTTTTTTTTTCTTTTCAATTCTTTCCTTCTAAATGTGTATTTATGTATGTGTGTGTGTGTAGGTATACATCACTTATCATGAATGTTCATATCACAACATTAATCTGTCAATGTATGTTTATTGTTCAATAACTATTTAAATTGTCAAGTTAATGAATAATCTAGGCGGCCGAATGTATAAATCATCTTGTATCTCTGCGTATATATGAATGGATACGTATCTGTTCATGTCCGTTTGTGTGGATGTATTAATATACTGCATGTATGTCTGATGTATTTTTTCCTTAGAAATAAATGATTATCTATCTATCCATTACCTGTTCTATTTAACAACCTATTCTTCTTGAAATTATTACCACTATAAATGTGTTGACGTTACAAAAATTAGGGTTTTTCCTTTGGAAAGAAATTCAGTATCCCCATGTTTAGAATGATTATAATAGATTATTATGGATTCGTGAGGATTATCTAATCGAAAAAAAAACCAATAAAGGTAATTCAGTTTTCCTGGTCTTTTATAACTTACTTCAACGGCTGATATTAGTTAGACAATCATTGAAAACTAAGAGACACTCGACAACCGTTTCGTCCTAGTATAAGACTACTAGGCAATTTGGATCCACAATCTCGTCAGAACCTTCAAGTTTGGCGAGCGAACACTTAACCTTTGAACTACAGAGTTGTCATCCAGTGGTCTGTACGCATAACTTAAATCCATTCGCTCAACTGTTTTCCAACATTTTAGTTGGTACTTGCCTCGTACCCGACATGATTGGATGCGACTGGTCACGGCTGCTGATTCTGGAAATTACCTCTTTATCACATGATTATTATTAGTATAAGTTGTTTATGAATATCAGTTGGATTTAGAATCGTTGATGATCGAATACTGACTCCCTGACCGAAAGGTTGACCTCACTGCATAACTCGAAGGCTCTGACTCCAGTCTTCAGGAGAGTTATGGATGTACGCTCTTGAAGAGCTCGATACACGGCCTAAACAGTTTCCTTTTTTCTAGTGATTGTTTTACTAAAGTTAGTCTCTAACGTAAACTATTAGATTCTTTAATCTCCACAAATTGTTGAATAATTAACCATTCAAATTAATGAAGAATTATAGTTTAGATTAAAATATTGATTGATTGAATGTGGATTTTGAGTCATGCTTTTAGTACGAAGAAGGTGATAATGTTATATTTCTCCGTTTAAACCAAAGTAGGAGAGACTGGGTTAGTTGAATTTAAAACAGCTTCTTTTATCTACATTTATTAGGAAATACGTTTTTACTACTACTACTAGCAGTGGAATTCACGGTGCATGTTTAAATTTATTTGGTACTAGTTAACCAGATTTATTTATATCCCCACTGATTAACGTTCACACTGAGACCCAAACTTAGTATCTTTCTCTTTAACAAAATGAGAGGTTATCTGAACTCAATAGTTTGTGTTAGAATGCAGAGATACAATTAGTTGTTAGGTCCGAAATACATTAAAAAGTGAGTCCTGTATTACACTAATGATCACATGCCAAATGATTCCTAAGATACTTGATCAAGGTATGCATGTATGGTAGTATAGATAACGAGAGGAAATTACAAACATTTATTAAACTATGGTCTACGAACAAAGTTGTGCAAAATGTATTAAGATTGTGCAACCAAAATGAAAATAATAATTTTTACATTTATTCAAATAAAAGCAATCTGTTATTATAAGCAGACAGGGACGGTGGATAGAAGTGAAATCCAAGACGCACGTTTCGTCCTATTTGGGACTCGTCAGCTGAGCCGTAAAAAAGGATTTCCATAAGTTCTTTAGACAGTGACGTTGGATTCGGCTAGTTAGTTTTGTGAATTGTTACGCCACTGTTCTAACAGATATTATTATACGAAATCGGTTGATAAGATTGTGAATTTTCATCCATCTGGGGTGTTTGGTACGTGTATTACATGTTCCATTCACTGCTTTTCTCGGTGCACAATGTTAGATAAGATAGGAATATGTTGAAATAAAAGTAAGAGTGGTCAAAAGGGAAACAATACATCATCTCAGGAACTTATTAATTATTTAATTGAACATTATTGGTAGGTGTACACTACTTGGCTAGAGTTCCCACTAGCGACGTGAATAGTACCTGGGAATGTCGAGTGTTATAATTTAGAATCAGTTGCAATGGCGTCTTCATCTTTGTGCGCAAATTGTCAAAATTAATTCATCCTCTCTAATCTTGTCTGCTTATCACCGATACTATTTTGGTATTTACGTTGTTAATTTCATCCCACTTTGATGTTTTGGTTTGGCCAGGCTAGGCCTATGTATCGTACTCTGATTTGTTTTCTATGAGAGTAGGTCGTAGGTTTAAATCTTTTCTTTACACTATCGTTAGTTTAGGCAAGCAAATAATATCACCTACTCTAATACAAAATAAAATGGAGTTACAAGTTGGATATATTAGTGTGTATTTGTTAAACTTGCTTTCACAGAAAGTGTTTGGGTTTAATAAATACATAAATCATACATGATTTTGTATTGTTAATAATAATAATAATAATAATAGTCGTTAGAACATGTACTTATATATATTTAAATGATATTCTTGATATTCACACAGTCCTCGATACTTGTCAGTATGCGGTTGTATTTAGTACAAATCCTATTAATACAGGTTATCAGTTTAATTCACCCTTGTGAGTCACTACAAAGTTCCTGTGTATGTATGTATGTATGTATATATGTATGTGTGAACCTATTGATGAATCTATCTATTCGTTTATTTATGTAATTGTAAAATTCCGCAACTGATTTAATGAGCTGTTCGTCCATTCATCCCATTTTAAGACGCCATTCTAACTACTTTGTTTTATTGTAATTATATCTGTGCACAAGCCTTTTTCATCATATAACCTTGACCTAGTTGTTTATTCTTTCTATCTTTACAAGTGCAATGGTAAAGCCGACACTTTACATAAATAAACAAAACACACGGAGTAACCTCCTGGGTCAGTAGTCCATTTACATTTGGTTAAATGTTCACTGTTCAAATTAATGAATTATAAATAATAATGAACATTGTCTTGTAATGATTGAGTATATTTGTGCTTGTGTACGTGTGTAATAAAAGTTAGATTTATTTGTTCATTTTAGCTCATAGATTGTCGTGTGTGTGTGTACTTACATATTGAATGATGTATGTTTTGTGTAAAGGAGAGTGATAGATTATGGATAATAAATCTTTTGAACGCTGAGTACACTGCGAAACCAAACTATATTACCCTGTAATTGTGAAACATTTAATGTGAGACTAAGAGACTTGCGTAAACTTCTGCTTTTTAGACGATTGGTGTCTTGGTAACATTGTTCGGATACCAGCCGAACAACAGAATAAACAGCACTGAGAATGGACATAAGGTGCTAGACAAAAATGGCAAACTGTTGGTGATTCTTTCTCAACTGAGGAAGTTGTAATATGTATTATTACATATGATTAATCACAGCTGGTGCAAGCGTAAATTGGAAGAATCGAAACCGAACATGGTATCAGTTCATGAAATCATTGACCGTTGGTCTGAATTTTGTTGTTAGATGGAAAATACCTTATTTGAGTCAGCGTGAATAATTGTGATCAGTGGTTTGTGACGTTAGTTGACATGGGTCAGAATTCGTCACAATGATGATAGTGCACTCACTTTATATCTTATGTTAGTATTCCTTCGTATATACCTTTACACTCTGTCCTTTTTAACCTTTATTCTCAATCCATAGTGTTTTTCATTATCACCGCTACTAAATTATTTCGTTCTCTTCTGCTATCCATAATGTTAATCTCACATCTATGCCAGGCACTTCATTCAAAAATGACTGACTGACCTCAGCAGTACATATACACACATCCCTATCAGGATCAAATTTAAAAATCTTCACAACGTATTATGATAACGATTATTATTTGTTCAGTTGTTAACAACTTCAAATATTAATTCCAAGAGTTCTAGTGAAAAGCTGTGGTTTGAAGATTCTCGATTCAGTCCTCAGTGATTGCACATTCCTATAGAATCCTATAGATAACACAACGAAAAAGCTGTCCAATGTTTGGCGGTTCTCAATGTTGTTTTTTTAACTTGAATTGGTTCGTAGTATAAACTATGAAATAGAACAGAAGCTTATTTGTTTTGCCTAATGGTTTTCTCCTACCTTGTGTATTGTTATTTCGTCAGGTCAACAATACCGATATGGATTATCATGTATCCAGATTGATCTCTTTGGCTATCGCGGAAATTCTTGGCATTAAATCATTTCCATGTCCTCCATTGTACAGGTAACTCTTAATGTTGATTATGTCTATATTTCCATTGCTCTAAACGTACCTATAAGTTTAAGTTCTATGTTTTAATCATAGATTTGTTATAAATGATGATCTTTTTTTTCTTAGGAAAACCAGACGTTTGAACAAACTTCTTTCAGTTTGTATAGTATATAAGCCTTCTCAGCTTTTGGTCACATGTCAATAACTTTAGAGTCATTATTTTACATCATTCTATCATTCTTAATGTGTTGCTAGAATTATGTATATATTCGATTTTATCAAACGCCAACTAATCGCTAATTTTCTAAATAGTAAATGGGCAATCGGTAATCATAAGAGCCTCGTCGTTTACATTTTCACAGGAGCCTGACAGCCGTCTATAAATGAAAGTTTTTGTAGTGCAAGTCGAGTGTTTACTAAACAGATTATGTATGATCAACTTTCATTCAAGAGGTGTGAGTATGTGTGTGACTCAAAATATTTCTTGCCATTAATTTGTATGGTTAATTAATCCTTTATAATAAAAGGTCTATTCATGTACACCTTGCCGACTATCATATAGCACGAAACTTAGGTTCACTGTATTCGCTCTACTGCCTCCGACCATCTAACGCGATCTGGAGTCATTTAAATCTAATCGATAGGATTCATTTGGAACCAGGCAGTACCAGACAAAAACAACATTAATCATTATTTAATGATTAATCACTTGTAAATATCCCAATCCTAAAGATCACTCGTGATACTAATCGCTCGATGGTGATAATCTCTTCAATAGTAAAGCTTGATCGAATCAGCCGAGAAGAATCAGTTTTCTCAAGATTACATATTCACCTTGTCTATGAGCGCCAATTAGCACAAAACTGAGATCATGCACGATTTCCTGCTGGCTATCTTCCATTCCCATAAATGCTTTATTCCAGTCCCGTTGAAGTTGTTAGTATACAACGTAACTGGGAAATGTCAGCTTTAAAAATTTCTTTTAATTTAATATGACTTATTTCTTAGACAAAAAGGACAAGATCTGTAATGATTAACAGTTTATTTAGAAAGCAGCTTCTAAATAATCCGTTGAATATCTTACCATTTTTCCCTTTCCCTCTCTTATTGTTTATTTCATTTCTAGTTGTTATTCATTCGATCTGTTTTCTGACGGTGATAATTCACGTCTTCGACTTGCTTTATCATCGGGTATGGCTGATTGTTTACTACAAAATATTGCTGTAACAAAGGTTTGTTTTTGTTGCTTCCCTGTTGTGTTCTGTCATTTAATTATTTAATTAGTTTTATTGTATATTTTATTGGATTAATTTTATTCAAAATTAACGATAGTTTACATTACCATCGGAACCTAATTAAATATCAATTGAAGACCATTAGGTAGGACTGTAAATGTATGTTTCATTCTAATTTGATGAAACCTTTAAATGTATTTGTTTTAACTAGAGGTTAACCTCATGAATTTCAGGATCTACGGTGAGTACGTTACTTTTCGTTGAGTCTTAAACAAGAGTGATACAGCTGTCTAGTATACTCATGGGCTTTTATCGAAATTCCGACTGGTCTTGATCCACCATGTAAACTATCGTCAAAGTAGACAAAAAATCCACAAATAAAAAATCTGACTTATTTTCTATCTTGATCAATACTAATTGTTAGAATGTTAGCCTCGTAATTTTTAAAAAATAAAATATGCAGAGCAGATTAAAATTAGAAATATAAATCGCTAGGTCTCGACTCTGTGATCTAGTAGTTAAACACTCGCCGTGAGACCTGAGTTAAATTCTCGTTGGGGTTATAGCTGCTTATTACTGAAGAGCTTTGTGCTGGGACGAAACAACTGTTCGGGGCTATCTTGTTTTCAATAGTTTGTTAAGACCAGTTGATCACGTGAACATTGAAATTTAACAATTTCTAAGATCCTGTTGTACCAAAAATAAGACGATTTTTCGTTCAGTGTTCAGCAATTAACGTCAACCATAATAAATCCCACTTTAGTGATAATAATAATAATAAATGACTCGTAAGGATCTGATCTGGCTTTGGTTTTATCCCGATGTTGATATTTTGCACTGGATTTTGATCAGTGTTATTTGCATCCATAATTCTTCTAACTGAAATAGCGCACCATGACTTTCTCAGCAATCCACCTTCCGTATAATCCATAAAAATTGGCCGAATTTATATTTTTCTAAACCTAATTGCCATCAACCGTTAAATGATATGCAATTTATGTGCTTTATAAAGAGTTGTTTACTTTCAAAACACTTTTTCTTCATAAAGTAACAACAGTCGAAAGAAAACAAAAAAGACCTAAGTGATTGACACTCGATATTAGTTGTTTTGTCCAAGTTCTTCCTAACTCATCCATACGTCACACATACAATTTTATAGTATGATCAAACTTGAGACTTTCATATCCCAATGAGATGAAGTTAATCTACACAATATGATGACATAATCCTCTCCTTTTAATAATGAAATGTAATAAATGTCATATCAGAAAAAAAACGTGCGAGAATATAAAACAAGAATCACTGAAAAACTTCTCTTCAGTTTACTTTTCTTCATGCACTGCTTAACAATCAACACACGTTGCGAAACATACTCTGTTTTAAAAAAAAAATTAGAAGTGTTCAATTCTCGCGGTTGTTAGTTTCAATGAGGCATGATAATTAACTGTGTTGTAATTGAATGAATGAATAGCTGATTTTTGCGTCATTTTTCTAATGTTTCAAAAAAATGTGAATTTGTGTGTGTGTGTGTATTATGTGTTTAGGTGTGCATTCAGTGATTTATTAACACTGTACCTATATAGTAGATACTTGCATTAATTAACTTAGTGTGTACATCTCAATCACTATGTACAAATTTTCTCATAGGGAGGGAGAGTTAAATGAATCTCTGCGTATCTAGGTTTTCTTTTAAACAATTAAAATTTTAATTAGTTGATCTATGAATTGCATAGTTGTAGCCTTAAGCCAATAATCTTTTGTAGTCTAGTTTTGCTTAATTTACTACTTGAGTATTATTATTATTATTATTATTATTATTATTATTGACACATATGTAAAAGTGGTTTCACACACACACACTTTCCTCTAATTATGGTAGTGATTTTCCACTCCGTTTTCTCTTGTTCTGTTTGTTTGTTTGTTTTTGGTTTGTATTTTCCTATAGGATTGAAAATTTATTTAATTTTATTAGTTTGATTTCAACTGTATTATACACCAACTGAATTGTCGTTGTAAATCACACCTAATTGTCACATATATCTTATGCATGGATTGCTCAAAGCGTACATTACAACAGTTTATTTAGAGGTATATCTTACAAAATATGGTATTGTTAATTACTAAAATCATGACCTATTGGCTCATCATTATGTTTTCCAGTTTTTTATGCCTAGAACTCACAATGCTTACTTTTGTAACATGATTTTTCCTCTTTCCTATCTTCAATCTATCTTGAAGTTTTACTCTTTTTTTTAACATATTCTTATTGTCTCAATGTGAACATCAATATCCAGGGATCCGCATGTATCCAACTGATAAGTCCCAAGTAGGATGAAACATACATCTCATATTCTATTACTGGTTAAAAATTAATCAATCAATACAATTCGATTTTTAGCTACAGTTTTTCTATGTGAATTTGACATGTATCACCCGATTGTTTAAATGTAAGAGTAAACGTGAAGAAGGTATTCAAATTCATAGCACACTCCTCTACAATTGAGATTGAAGCCGGGTTTTTTTTTTACTAAGTTTGTAGGCTTAATAAAATGGAAGTCGAAATTTTCCTGTGCCACTTTCGTTTCAAGTTTAATAAGTTGGAAATCATTTCTATTACTATTATACACATGATTCGATATAGCATTATGAGTAAGCGACTGTATCTGTTTCCTTGTGATGTTATTCCTTGACTCATTATTTATTGCTTGTAAAGATTTTGATGACTATGATGCAATTGAAATTAACATTGTTTATGAAATTAGTCGTTGTAAAGCTGTCTTTTGTTCTCTGAAATGTGTTTTCAGGAAAATTTTATGTATTTGTTTATAAATTCATCGGAAAGGATTAGATTGTCAGTGCCATCTTAATTGTTTTCTCTTTTCTTACAAATTCTAAATATCATTCAAATAAGTTATTTGGTTTCCTCTTCCTTTTCTTCATTTTGGTTTTCAGGATTCTAAATCTTTTATCGATACATGTGGTAATGGACAAATTGATCGTGGTGAAGAATGTGATCCTGTTGTTCGTCGAAGTTTAAGCTATTCTTCAAACTTTACTAATCCAATGTCTTGTTGTAATTTGGATACATGTTTAGCTTCTGTATGGGCTGTATGTACACATGGTCCATGTTGTCATCAATGTCGTTTAAAACAAAAAGGTAGTGTATGTCGTCCAGCGTTTGATCAATGTGATCTACCGGAATTTTGTACTGGTACCCATGTAAGTTGAATTGTGTTTCTTTTCTTAGTAGTTTTATGCATGTGTGTCCGTTCGCAGAATCTGAAAAGGCAGGTGGTGACTAATATTACGTTTAATGTTGTGTAGTCAGCCTTTTTTTATTTCTTATAGCATCCCTATTTTGTTGATAGCATTAGTCCAAGTCTTTATACTGACGTCTTAGTAACTAGTGTCATGCTGTTAAATCCCAACCCAATAAAATCCCTAGAATAAGCACCTTGACATTTCAGTACAATTTTTTTCTATTAGATAGGTTAAAAACTATTGGTAAAAAGCGTTACTTGATCCTCTATGTTTTTCGATGCTAGTTGATCCTTGTCTCTATATTCATTACACTTGCGAAAGAAATAATGATCTATGTTAAAATTGATCATAAAATATCTCTTTACTTGATGACTAACAGCTTCTTCGCTAGGTTAGTCATGAATTTTACTGGCTAATACAGTTCAGTTAAACGCTTGGTGCCTTGTCTTGGTCGATATCCACTCATACGCTAGTTATCAATTTGTGCCGTAATACATGATGGTTGATAGTATGTAACATATATCCCTAACCATCTGAGTTGATGGGGATCCACACATTTATTAACTGATTTCCCATCTTTATATAGTATTCTACATCTTATTTCAACATTAGTCACTTATTTGTCCCACCATACTTAAGTAACATAATAATCAAACATTGATAACCTACATACATCCCATACTTTTAAATTGCATGTTTCACAACTATAAAATTAAACATCATGGACTATTGTACAGTGTACTTTTCTCTTCTGTTCGTATGCAAATGACCATTTTACCCATATTCAGTATATAGCGAATACCTTTTTAGACTACAGATAAACCTGAGTAACTGACACCATTAAGATAAAATTTAGCTCTCACATGACCACGTCTATATAGACACTAGCAGAGGAGTCGTACTCACTGCCTTCTCGAGGCAGGGGTATTGTTTATGAAATTAAGAGGACGAAAAGCGAACATCCGACATGCAAACTGGATTAGTGGGCATGGAGCATCCATCTAGGTGAGTTGGAAAACCTTGACTCCAAACCAATGGTGCTCACAGGCCCCAGTAACCTCATAACAAAGTCGCATATAAACCTATTGTTGGTCACCGCCTACTACCATGGGACCTCACCTCCTAACGTTGCTCTGCTACCTTGTGGATTAGACTTGTAGGTCAAAGGTCCCCTAAGAAAATCATCCGCTTCGGTTTTGGCTGAGGGACAGTATTCCCAGCTTACACGCAGATGGACTGATAACTACTTTGTGTGGCGCATGTATATTTTGGTGCTCCTCTGTAACAATGTTTGGGTCTAAATAGATTATGTATTTATGTATAATGTTTATTTTTGGTTCAGCCATCTTGTCCATTAGATTTATATTTGGAAAATGGTTCTCCATGTTTAACACAATCACTAATTGGTATTGTATCCGCATCGTCAACATCATCGTCAGCCTTATCCACTACAACTATAACAACAACCACTAGTACTACTGTTGTACAGAAAAACAATAATTCATCATCACAGTTGAATTATTTAGTCGAAAATCATAAATCATTATGCTATCAAGGTCGTTGTCCAACACGTCATAGTCAATGTGAAATGATTTGGGGTGAACAAGCTACAGAGGCGTCTGATTATTGTTTTCATTTACATAATACTAAAACTGATGGAGCTTGTGGTGTACAAGGACAGCATTGTACTATTGAGTTAGTTCAATTTTCATCTATCATATTATGCTACTTATGTCTTGTGTTTTTTCTCCTTTAATTCTGTTTGTTCATTCAATTTTTTGTTAGGTTTTATTTTCAAAAAGATTATTATAATGTTTTCTGCACTGAATTATGTGTATACAGAGGTTTTCCTGACCCTAATTTATGGAATGTCTTTAAATATATGTATTGAATAACATTTACTGCTGGTATTTATTTACTATATTGTGTATCACTACTCAACTTTAGCTGGTACTCTGACATAGTGTTTAAGCTTGAATGTCATGGTGACCCAGCTTAGTTATACTGGCTAGAACATTAGTTCTTTTAGGTCCCACTATACCAAGTAGGTCATTTGAAAAGAGCAGTAAAACTAAAAGCACTAGATGATAGATCTTAGGGCGAAGTTGTACTGTCCACTGTACTTGGGGGTGTGACGGCAATAAGGTTTCTTTAAGGCAACTATAACCTATAGCAGTTCTGTCTTCTAAACATGAACGGACGAGGTCGGCACTAAAATATCATTGCTTACGTTACCTCACAAATTCCTATTGCCGTCGCTCTCCCAGATCATTAAGCTACCCCTAACCTAGGTTGTGTTATAGCTCAAGGCCACCGATCAGAGGGCAGTGAATTTCGATCGGACCAAGGACGCGTAAAACACGTGCCAGCGACCTAGAGTTCTGATTGGCCCTGCTCTCCACCTAGCCCAGCCAGTTAAGTCCAGAACGCTAATCTCAGCCTCTGCAATACGAATACTATATTTCAACATACTGAGTTTATATACCAATCAAACAGACCACAACGTACCATAAAATAGAAAATAACATTTGTACAAAATTTGACCAAATGTGGCAGTGAATGTGAGAGGCAGTGACTAATAAACAGGGCATAATTCAAGAATGGTAAAACGTATGATAATGGTTCATAGGTCAAAATAAAGCTTATAATAAGAGGAACATGAATATGAATAGTTTAGTTATTTAACAAATATACGATAAAAATATACGTTTAGTATTGGTTCACAAATGGATCCCAAAATTACCATTCATTATTCTTGTCGGGACATAGCAAGTTGCTTCTCAAGTACCTCGAGAAGAAGCATAAACCTATAGTGTAGGTACCTGGGAAGTAGCACCCTTTCTCCAAAATCACTTACAGCACTCAAGATTAGATTCAAGCCGAAGTACACCATTATGTCAATCTTCATCATAGACTGAAAACTAGTTAATACAGTAGACAGCTGTTGGTCTTGTTATCCGATTCTTCAAAAGTAAGTATAGCCACAACCCATGTATGACAAATCAAACTCCATGACCTCCAAGTTTCATGGACTACTCGTTCTTTTTTGTTCAAATTGAAATGAATGAATTGGTGGTATATTCGCTAGTTTGGAAACCCAACTTATTTATTCAGGAGCCAGTTAGAACGGTGAAATTATATAGAGTGATTGGAATAGTTTAACAGAAACATATATTGAGTAACATGTTAATGCTACACTTTTGATGACAGTAATAATACTTAATCTCATGAATTTAGATAGGTTTTTTTATGTAATTTTATAGTGTTGTTACTCTATCATTTTTTTCCACGTATATTAATCTTTTTTTTTTTATATCACTTCTCCCTCCCTCCCCTCTTCTGCTTCATATCTTTAGACATGCAAAATGTGGCCTTTTACAGTGTCAAGGTGGTAGACCTAGACCTGTTTCGTTGGAAGCACAATCTGGTCAACCATTTGTTACGTATACAGAACATCAAGGACGTCAGTTTGAATGCAAGTAAGTTTTCAAGAAAATGTCCCTACAACATAATTGCTTTATCAATGAAAAATGGGTCTCTTCCTTTTTATTATCGGTTTTGTTATTCCTAATGGTTGAAGTATGTAATTAATAATTATACTAATGGTATACACTTTTCATTGAGACTATCTGTGAATAGCCTGTGTAGCATGATCATGTAACAAATTTGAAATTTCTTCATTATAATCTTGACTATTCACTTGAACCCAGAATATGTATGTGCTAGTAAGATCTCAGATTATTTAGTTTTCTTTACTTTTTGTTGATAAATGGTACTTCCAATGTGTAATGAAACCTCTGTGGTAACTTTTCTCTGTTCATATTCCTCAAATAACCTTTGATATTTCATTAGTTGAGATCATGAGTCAATCGAAGCTAGACCACCATGGAAAACCTGGAAGCAATGGATGGCCGTTTCGTCCCATTGTGGGATTCCTCAGCAGTGCGCATCCACGACCTTTGATATTATCTGATTGATTTTCCTGGGTTTTAGTATGCTATTTTTATTGAACCTCAAGATCATACTTACTTTATTATGAACGGTGGTTGTTGTATTACGATCTTGGCTTCTTTGAATATCAAGCTTTTTCTTTGTTCTTGGCTTTTCTCTCTAATCACATGATGAGGGATTGTTATTAAAGTGATGTATACTAGTAATCCGGTCTACCTAATCTCTGCAGAGATTAAGGTTTTCTTGTGAATGATAACTGTCAATTTTGAGTTTTTGATCACAGTCTAACAGTCAATCAAAATTTATGAACACTGTTATCATACAATCTGATTAGATACTGTTTCCACTTTTTTTCCATTCTTATCTTATTCGTTAGTTAACAGAATAATTAATACTGGAGATTCAGTTTAAAATTATGCTTATTAGTAAGGGTTTATAATTTAGTATTACAATTGGTCAGTCTCTGTTGCATCCGTAGCTAATTTCGTCCATATTGTCTTCTATCATAAGTTCTAGTATGGTTAGTGTATGAAAAGCATTAGAATCCAAGACATATTTCATTCTCCTCACGACTCAACAGTTGTATGTACCACCACAGTTAGTGTTGGTGCTCACAATAAGGCTTAAGTGTATTACTGTATTCTTTAAATAAGATGAAACACCTATCTTGGATTCCACTACTTATCACATATCATATATGAGATAACTTGTGACATAATGCTAATATCTATGTTATCCACTTAAGGTGCACATATCCCAACAATGACTGTTTCTAATCCCGATTATTGACAATAAAAAATAACAAACCTTTACTTAATCGATTCATGCCTGTTAAACAAGTTAGTGGCTATCTGGAGCGTATAATGCATTGATGCTTGCAAAAGTAAACACTGATTTTATGTATATGAACATTAACCCTAGGATATGACTTGTACATCCAGTTGATGAGTTTTGAATAGGATGAAACACCCATCGTATATTCCATTATAATCCATATACTTAGTATACTAATACTTATTTCTGTACAACTTCTCCTTTTTCTATCTTTTAATCAAACTACAACGAGATTTTCCAAAGTTATCTTTATACTGTAATTTTATGTTTGTTAATTAGTCTCCCCTGTTTATCTGTCTATATAGCCAGTTCTGTTCATTTGTTTATATTTTCATTCTTATCTCCCCCCCTCTTTTTTGTCTGCATTTTCTTTGCTTCATGGATTTATTTATTTGCTTTATTAACTATACAACCTGATCAGTTGTAAACATTTGTTTGTTTAGTGTAATTTTTTTGTGTCAAAATGGAGACATACACTATTGTGTTTATTTTTACTAATGTGTTTAATTATTCTCACCATAGATATTCTCTTCTCTTTTAATTGTGTTTTGTTTTCGTACATTTTTACTGGGAAATTATATAGAATGGTGTAGTGAAACTATAATTTATCAACGAACTAATCAGATCTAAGATCACAACTCTTGGATGATGGCGCGAAATTCATTCATCCATTTGGCTAAATAGCATATTAGCATCATAGCTGATATCAATTCATGGTTAAGAAGAACCCTGACTCTAATTCCTAACCCTAATGTCTAACTCTAAGTTCTAATCCTAATTGTTCACATTAATTTATAACCTTCTTTTTATCCTAATAATTAGATAAATATCACTTTAGCTTCACTCAAAGGTCATATAGAAATTATAGTCTCATCGAATGGTGTTGATGTTACGACTGCTAATGTGTTTTTGTACAACAATGATAATTGGCAAAATGTTGTTTTCTTTTGTTTTGTAGTGTCTATTTCGATTTGGTTTATCATATGTGTGTATGTTCTCCTTCCCATTTTTTCTTCATTTCAGTTAAAAAATAGTTTATACTTTTTTGTTTTTAATCCAAGATGGTTAGAGGTATTCTACAGGAAATTCAGAATCAGGCGCAATAGCACAGATATATTTACCCTCTTTCTTATCTGAGATAGTGACTTCCAGCATCATTTCATACATACTTTCAATCGCATCCCAAACATTCTTGCATTGTTGCTTCTGAGTACCTAGATGATAGGGAGTAAAGTAGTTGAATGCATCGATCGCTTAACTTATCTTGGGAGTTTCATCAATCCTGATGGTCTGGTGTCTGACGAAATCTTAGCATAGATTCAGTAGGGTCCATCGGCTTCTGCCAATTTCTGTTGGGGAATATACAGTAAAGAAACATGTTACTCCATATAATCACCTTTTGTTCAAAGCATAGAAAGTCAACGAGGACAATCATAGGAAAATCGGTAAATGAGTAATGATACTGTCGTTAACATTTATACATATGAATTAGTATGAATTGGAACAGTTCTAGTATTATCACTTGGATGCTGGCTCAATGGTTAAAAGTTTAAGCGTTTGCATGTGAAACAGAAAATTCTAGGTTCAAGTCCCGCGTACGGGATCGTGGATGCTCATTGCTGAATAGTTCTGTACTAGAACGAAACGACCATCCAGGTTTTCAGTAGTAATCTAGCATTGATCAATTTATGATCTCAATGAAAAGTTCTACTATTTTCGCCCAATATTTTTTAATATTTGCATTACTATTTCATATGGCAAATTGTTTGCTCATTCTGTGAATTTTCTTTGATCCTTATTTCTCTATTACTATCGCTGTTGCGTTTTCTTCTCCTATGTTCATAATCTAACAATTAATCATTTTCAATTGACCAGTATTTGAGTTTGAATTGATACGAAACATTCTGCGTGCACACACACACACGTCACCCTATATATGTTTACATTTATTATTTGTTAGTGTTGCCTATGTGTTGTTATTCGTTAATGAAAAGATAATCGCTCATCTTTGTTTGTCTCTGTGTGAAATAAAGAATACAATTCTCTGTTTTGTTCATTACACGCAACATTTATTAATACTACTCTGTTAGAGAGCTCTGCCGCTGACAACTACGTAAATATACACATATTTTTTTTGAACGGGTTGGATGTTGAAACATCACAGTAAAAAAATCCTCAGATCCTTAATACTTTTTTTTGACACTGTGATTGGGGTAGTTATGTTGTGGAAAAAGAGATTTTATTCTTAAATAAAAAGAAAGAAAAATACCATAACAGACACTCCGTACACCTTGTTATTATTATTATTATTATTATTTTATGGGGTTTGGACACGCATTTTCCGGTTTTCAATAAAATTTATGACATTAATTTATTACTTCTATTCCATTTGTAAACTAACGCATACTAGTTGTCATAGTTATTTTAAGCGTTTGTTTGTGTTCCTTTGTGTGTGTGTGTACATGCACCTGCGCACTTTTGTCTGAGAGACAAGGCGATTAAACTAACAAAATAAATGAGTTTAATAATGTTTATGAATAACAGTAGTACATTGTAAGTAGTATCATAACATTAGTACTAAATTTATTTCAAAATAACTTGTTCTTTCCGCGTATTAGCCTTTAAAGAACTTTACTCCATTTTTGTTTGTACGATGATAACGTTTTCTTTGTATATGTATGTATCTATATGTGTATGTATTGCTTTTAAATTTCTGTTATTTCCCACCGATCATAAAATTGTTACGATGATCATAATATGAAGCACAAGGGTGGAGGTTAGTATGTTTATTTATTTTCAGAAGATTATTGTTTGTTTATCTAGGTGACTACTACTTGTGTGTGTGTGTGTGTGTGTGTGTGTGATTTGAGATAAAGAAATGAGACTTATTTAGCTTCAGACTTGAAAAAATGATTTATTTTAATAATTATAATAATAATACTGAAATATTGATATTCCTAAGAAAGATGATCCGACCTTCTTGGAGGTGTGTGTATGTGCTGCCTACATTTTGGTTATCTATACATATTCTGCTGACTACATGAGTTGTTTTCCTTTGAAGAAGTTTTTCCTCTACTTTATAATCCATTTTCGGAGATTTATTATGCAAGCTAAGTAGTTATGATATGATATTACTTATACAACTGACTGAAGAGGGAATAAGATAATAGTCGCCTAATAACGCGAATTGACTGAAGTTGTAAAATGTGATTATAGGTTTAACCTATGATATGGAGGGAGGACTGATGTTGTTAGCATACACTGTTGAGAAGTCACTTAGTTGAACAAAAAAATCGGCTATCCATTATCTTTTAATTTTTATTGATGTAAATTATTTTCTAAAGTCAAACACTTTGGAGTTGATTGATCACTAAATAATGAACAATGTTGTATTTTTTTTAAAATTAATGATGATCAAGTTGCACTGTGGCCACTAGTGTAAATAAGTAGTTTGATATCGCGTACATTATGTTTATAGAAATAATGACTAGAGAAACACGACATTAATCACTTTTCAGAGATCAATAAATTGCAAATATCGCATCCCTATACGAAATCAGATGCGACCTGAATAGCTCACTTTTAATGTTTGCGACAATGAAGTAGTCTCGAGTCCCGTAGAGAACATCATCTCACACAAGATTTCCAGTAAACCATGTTAAGTCAATACAAGTTTTCCTACGGACTGTACCTGGTCACTTGGCAAAATCGAACAATCCACACAAATTTATCGTACTAACAACTTCTTAATTTTATCTTAAGATAAGTATTTTTCCACTCTTACTGCATACTTCCCCGAAATTTTTATTATTTATTTTAACACATAGATATTGGTTCAAGGAGGCACCAAATACATATGCGCCACACGAATCTCAATTGATTTGTGTGAGGGCTGTGATATTGCTCGGGTGCCCGAACCGAAGTAGGTGGTTTTCTTAGAGTGCCACACCCGGAGCCTTCAACATGAAAGTCTGATCCACAAGGCAGTAGAGCATCGTGAGGGGATGCAGTCCCATGGTAGCCGGTGACCAACGATTGGTTCATACGCCATTTGTTCCTTCAGCATACTGGAGCCCATGTGCACCATTGGTTTGAAATCCGGTTAAAGCGCCGGACATTCGCTTTTCGTCCTCTCACTTTTGTAAACAACACCCGTAGTGCGAGAAGGCAGTGAGTAGGACTTCCCTGGCAGAGGCTATATACGCATGGCTATGTGAGAGCATTTCGAGAGGGAGAGCGGACTCTCCCCACTCTCGGCCGTACCAGGGCATTTGGGGGCACGTGTATACAGCCCGAGCAGTATCACAGCCCTCACACAAATCAATTGAGATCTGTGTGGCGCATATGTACTTGGTGCCTCTCTGTACACGTGGCCATGTGAGAGCATTTCGAGAGGGAGAGCAGACTCTCCTCACTCTCGGCCGTACCACGGCTTTTGGGGGCTTCCCCAAAATACCCCACTGTATAGGTTTCTTCTCCTTCTGAAATTTAAACAGGACTGACGTCTTTCAACTTCAAGATGATGGCTGAAGGCAGTTTACAGGAAACCCTGGACGTAGGTTTAATGCTAATTGGCACTCATCAGCAAGGTGTACCTGTGATCTTGAAGGAACTAATTTTAGTTAAACAACCACTGAGAACCCAGAAAGACTGGACAGCAGTATGCATTCACGAATCTGCCACCAGGGCTATAACCCAGCTCCTCGGGTCTTGCTATCAAACTCCTAACCTCTACCTGTTTAACTCTAATTTGTTTTTGTTGGCGAACGTTTCATTCCATTGACTCCTAGTTTTTAATATAATATATTATTTGATATTATTACTTTATGAGTTCCACGTACATATTATTTTATTTACTTGTTTATTTTCTACATAGATATCTGTCTCATACATCTAAAGTTCGATTTGTCCCAGAAGGCGCATCGTGTGCGCCTGATCGTTATTGTTTTCATCAAGAATGTGTACTACCACATGTTGTTTTTCAGTCGATTTGTCCAACTGGTCCAGTAAATAAACAATTAGAAAATGGACATATCATCTATAAAAATGTGACATGTTCTGATCATGGTGTAAGTGAATAGTAGTGTTTTCTTTTTTCTTTCTTGGAAGGAGGGGGAAGAGGTAGTACATAATAGGCTTTGTGATTGTCCAAGCGTGTGTATGTATGTGCGTACGTAAAGTTTTCGTATAAAATAAATAAATACGTTTTCAGTTTGGGGTTATGGTGATTGTTGAATTTCGTTGAAATCATCAGTCGATACATGTTAGACCATCATTGAAAACCCGAAAGCACTGAACGGTCGTTTCATCCTAGTATGTGAGATTCCTCAGCAGTGCACACCCACGATCCTGCACGTGGGATTCATATCCAGCGCTTTCGGTCTCGGGAGCAAATGCCTAACCTCTAGACCACTGGACTGTTATCAAACGGTGTCAGTGTCTAACCTCAATCTATTCCCAAAATCGCGCGACCATCTTCCTCTGTCTTCGATGGGTAACTGCCTCACACTCAACATGATTAAGCGTAAAGCGTTCGCGCGCGAGGCCTAGAGTGCCTGGTTCGAGACCCGCGCTCGAGATCGTAGATGTACACTGCTGAGAAGATCCATATTAGGATGAAACGGCCGTCCAGTGTTCCCAGGTTTTCAATAATGGTCTAACATTCATCAGCTCACTATTTCAGTGAAATACATTTTTATCGATACTGATCTATTCGTCTCGTTGTCACAAATGTGGATATTGTTAAAGAAAGATTTCTGGTTAATTAGAAAATAATCTCAGTGTAATTTAGTCATTCCAGTATAGATTCATTCGTCATTTGATTTTTGTCTATAATTTTCAAACAGTCAGTTATAATGTAGTAGGGTCTGGGACATATGTGGATCATCTCAATATACTTTACCACATTACTATGATGAAATGAAACTCACAAAATCAATAACAAAGAAATTGAAATAATTGTAGTCAGGACGACTGAACATTGAGAATACAGCTCAGAAAGTTCGAATGAAGAGATAACTACGGAAGAATACTAGAACTCAAGACTCGAAGTAACCGTTTTTAAGCCACACCATTCAACGTGGCCAACCACTGATTACAGTTACCTTGTGGACCTCAACCAGCAAGTCGGTATCCAACAACATAACTCATACCAACAGTTAGTGACTTCATGGACTAATAGCGTAACTTGGATTATCCATCCCTAGCTTATTTTCTACTAGCGAACATGACCCGTTGAGTTAGACAATGGTTTAATATACTCAACACTTGTTACAACCATCTCAGTCGATACAGATTCACAACCTCATCAATCGATCTACTGTCTTTACCTAGTATCCTATACCTAAGCTCAAGATTGCCACCACAATCGTCAGTCACACCTTAGAAATCTAGAACTAGAGGTAAACTCACTCAACTATTCTTAACTCAGCAAGTTGATCAGTAATCGAATCTGTGATCCAATAATTGAATCTGTTAACTATTTACTTACCTCGCAAAACTAATCATACAAAGAAACATCTAAGTAAATCATACTAAAAGATTGGAGAGAGACAGTAATCTAATGTAAATTTTAACGATTTCTGATAAAATCTTTTTTTGTTACAAAAAACTGTACGCATGCTAAAAAAAAGTGTCAAAGTGAACAGAGTTTAATCATTTTAATAATTTCTAAGTCCTTATCTTTCGGTGTCTCTGAAACAAATGATATGTGCAGTTCTTTTAAGGAAAATAAACATAGAGAGTAAGATCTCCGACCCTGACAGAGTTGACACTTGAATTTAATTTATAGGAGAGCGGTTAGACATACGGTTCTCATGTGTCATCTTATAATAACTTAAGTTTGCAATAATTTCTAAAGATTGAATACATTGATTGTAAAAGTACTCCGCCTTTTTCATGCTTACATTCAGAATCAAGAGTATTTTCTTTGATTTACCTTAATTTAAAACAGTTGTTTTAATTGAAAAGTGAATTATCTGAGTTAATAGTATACATAATGAACTTAACCGCCTAAAGCTACATTTTGTTCTAGAATGACAAACTGATCATATGTGTAACGGTATTTAGACGATGTGTAGATGGTAAAATGGGATTGTTTCCAATCATACAAAAATCGATAACTCATTGGAAATGCATACTTAATCAATCATGTATTAAAGTCCGGGTTATATATCAAAAAATGAATACAGTCAGTGAGAATTCCTTTGAAGCTTTTTTAAATCCTCAGCTGTATTTGAACCGTCAAAGTCCATAAAGACTGAATTCTGTCGTATTAGTATGCTTATCTGTGAAAATTATAGCTATATATATATATATATATATATATATATATATATATATATATATATATATATATATATATATATATATATATATATATATATATATATATATATATATATATATATATATATATATATATATATATATATATATATATATATATGGGACCAGCATTCTCCATCCATCTCTGTCCTGGACAATCCGTTCCAGTTGCTATTCATTCTTTCGATGTCTGCCTTTAATCTCCTGTGCAATATGTTCCTTGGTCTTCCTCTTTACTGTTTCTCTTCAAGATTTCAAGTTAGCGTTTGCCTTGTGATTCAGTTTGATGATTTCCGCAATGTATGTCCTATCCACCTTCAGCGTCTTTTTCTATTATATATATATATATAGCTTTAATCTTCTTCAAATAATAATTCAGATAAATAATTATTTTCAAATTAATTATCTGTTTACTTTTCTTAAAAAGAAGAAACTAAAAAGAAAGTGTCATTTCTTTATTATTCTTTTTTTTTGTTGTTCAAGTTATGTACAAATGCTGGTTTCTGTTTATGTCATCCTGAATGGACTGGTAATGCTTGTGAATTAGCAGTAGTTATTACCAATAAATCGAATACTATTACAAATGATCGAAATAATATTTTATCGAATTCCTCCGCCTCCTCCTCCTCCTCCTCATCATCATCATCATCACCGTCGTCGTCATTGGTTTCAAGTCAATCAACTATTATGAATAATATGAATCCATTGAATTCAGAAGTTATTCATTGGATATGGGATTATTTAGAACAAATGCAAAAATCTCATGGAAATTCTCAAAATTTTCAACTTAAACGCTTTAGTATGTTACTTTTCTTTCTTCTGTTTATTCACATTTATTTCATGTATTCAGTTCAGTTGGTAGTGTATGTATGTATGTATGTGTGTGTGTCTGGATGTGTAGAGAGAGTTAGAGAGTATGTATCGTATTTTTAGTATGTAAGTTCATTTAGTTAAGACGATATAGGAAAGAGAAGTGATATTATTATCAATTTGACCTGTACATGTAGTCAATTTGGTTAAGAACAAATTAATTTAAGCATAAGCCATGACATTTTCTATAATACATTTTTAACCATCATGTTTCGTTGTCTATCAAAAATAGGGTTTTGTACTAAAATGATATTTCACGATTTAGTTTAAAAGATATCTGATTCATTACTTCATTTTTTTTTCATGATAGTAGTTCTATTATAGTAAGGTTATTTAATCGATTGTCTTTTGAAGAGGCTATAAATATATGAACATATAACAATACTTCTATAATAAGTTCAGATTCTCCTGAACTTCTTGGTCTTATCATGGTGCTTTATAATTTCATAGACTGCACTAATTGAACTATTTAATTGTGAAATTCTGTGTACACTATTATAAGATTGCATGTATATATATATAGTTATTTTATTGTATCAATCACAGTTGACACATATTTCACGATCAGTCATGTTATATCATCCAAATGTAAACTATTGCGAAAATCTTGATAAAAATCTACTCGATTGACGAATCGGTTTGATTTAAAATAACATGTATTGGATTGTTTTTTACATAAAATTCAAAGTATAACGATGGATAGTTTGTAACTTATTATTAAATAGTGTGGTGTGCGCTACTTATATACACATAAGTAGTATATAACGATAGTCAAAAATAGAATGTATTTCAGTAGAAGATTGAGAACGAAATAACGGGAACGGAAAGCAATTGATATAAAAACCCAGAAAGAATGAAATCTGAGACGATGGACTAATATTTACAAAAGAAGCAGTCAAATTTGAGACAATGGATTGATATTTTACAAATTAAAGATTTACTGTATGGTTCTCAGATTTTAGTGAGATACTCTGTAATTTCGTGTTCAAATACATTCGATTGTTCTTGTTCACTACAGTAGAACCTATCAGTATTTAGTTATTAATACTCTTAAATTGAATAAGTATGACAAAACACAAGAGAATGGGGGGGGGTTGAAATTGATTGACAATAAGAAAGTAATTCATTTCTCATGAAAAGAAAGGACAGTACACTTTAGTGTATATGAAATCTTAATATCATGATTTGTAATTTCTTAAAATAATATCCTCTTGAAATTTGAAATCATAGACCTATTTTTATATTAGATATACTGAACTAACCAGATATATATATATATATATATAAGAAGTGTATATATGAATAGTAGTCTAGAATGATTGCAAAACATAACATTTTTCTACTATTCCTCAAAATGAATACAAAATGTTCTCTCAATTTAACTCTTAATCCCAACTCTCACCTATTTTTAGTTTCTGTATAATAAATTATTCATTTCTATCATTTTCATCCTAATTAGTTAAAGGTTTGTGTTACTTTTTTTTCAAGGTCATTTCAAAAGATTCTGAACATCATGAATAAAGCATACTTTCATAGAAATCTTTTCTGTGTTCATATTTTATAGAAAATTGTTTTGATTTTTTGTCGTTGTTGTATCCTTTTTTGTTTTCTCCAATTTTCTATTACTTACTTACTTACTTACGCCTGTTACTCCTCGTGAAGGAGCATAGGCTGCTCACCAGCATTCTTTATCTAACCCTGTCCTAGGTAATCCTTCCCAGTTCTTTCCAATTGTTATTCATCCTTTTCATGTCTGATTTCATTTCCCGACGTAGTATGTTCTTTGACCTTCTTCTTTTCTGCTTCCCTTCAGGAAGCGGAGTTGATTACAGTTGAGCTTTTTAAAGACTACAAATTGTATACTGAACGAATATTTCACAATTTAGTTTATCACTACTCATGAACAGTGTAAATTAACCAACTTTATATCTCTTAAGAGGCGATGTTTATTTGTGACAACTGAGTTTTAACTATCAATCTTATTTTCAGTTCTTTCAGTCCTTTCTTGATATAACGCGATTACTATCGTCCAGTTTTATGTCTCGATGAATATATTCCGTTTATCATTATCGTCATCAAATATACATAAACAGGCAATTATCATCCCACTATCGACTGGACTGTGAATCCTACTAGTTATAATTTCCAGCTAGCGAAAACTACTTGGGATTTATAATTAGTCCATGGGGATATTAATTTTGGAATCAAGTCATGTCAATAGGTACAAACTATCTGGTTAGTATCAGTATAACAAATAGTTGAAAACATCAGAGGACAGCTCAGAATCGGTCATAATGGTGTAGTTCCACTCATTTTTTTAGCCTTCCTTTAGATCTTCATTTCCAGAATTATCTTATACTTTTCGGCTCCGCAAATTCATTCTTTGTTCTAGCATGTTTTCTACTACCATTAATATTGTTATTACTTCTACTACCCCAGGATTTGTCTTAATGATTGCATATTGCTGTATTGTTACGATTTGATAACTTGAACCAATGCATATATATACGCCAGGTCCTTCGTGTTGCTTATAAATGAAGAGTGAGTAAAAGCTTTCCAGAGTTCTTAAACCTTCAGTACTTCCTTATTTACTTCGTTTTCATGATGGACGTTATCTTCAATCCCTTGTATAATTCCTAAAATTTACATTAAACATATCTCTTTAATCACTGAATATTTAATTATGTTGTCGTATTAAACCAAAGTGAAGCTAACAATGTCGACTGAATATTATTTCATTATAATACATAATAAATATTATTGGGGTCAGAAGCCAACTTAAGTTAGACAACCGTCGACCTCCAGTGGAGTCTTGTGTACCCACTGCTGGTGAGTCTCATGTTGGGACGGCAAAACATCTATCCAATACTTCTTTGTTTCTAGTGATTGTCTGAATTAGGTTGCTTTGTGATCTCAATAGCATTCAACAATCTCCTTAAGCCACTATCCTCAAAAAATAGATAATTAAACATTTTTTTCCTCATAAAATTACCCGCTCTCCCTCTTTCATAAAATGTATGATTTGTTCTATTTTCAAGAATTTGTATTTTCTCGATGTCAATATTAAAGACTACAGCTAATCGGTCTCTGATAGCACGTGTACGTTCTAATCGAATTACCTCCATATTTCCATAAAGTCACAGGTTTAGAAGTAAAGTTGGCTAATGAGAATAATAGTGGAGTCTGAAAGGTTCGTTTCGTTCTTTTTGAGACTTATCATCTGGGTGTATCTGCACTCAGTGTGGGATGCTTCAGCGCAGACATCCACACTTGTTAGCAGCCGCGTTCAGCTGATAAGTCCCGAACAGGGTAAAATGCTTCCTCTGCTAACTACTACCCAACTTTAACAATAATGGCTTGTTCGTTCAGTTTTTCTCACTCGGATAACAATTTTTTCTGTTTTACAAATTCTGATTTACCTCATATTATTTCATCTTCGACTCCGTGAGAATAAACAACAACTAATTAGGACGATTTATTCTGTCATTGTGTTTGTCACTGTAGTTAATCAAGTATATGACGTCTCTCTGACCTTGACATTAATACAAGTAAAGTATAAAAGGGATTTGTCCTTTCATTGTCTGACAAGAATCAATATTTACATGCTATTAAGGTTTCGGTCAAAATAAAAAATAAACAAAGCGGGAACACTAATTAGTATATATATATATATATATATATATATATATATATATATATATATGGTCGAATGAGCGGTTGTTAGAGGGACGGGTGGGCATAGTGTCTGGTTAATAGATTAATGAATCATATTTCCTTCTTTTGATTAGTCTTGGAATGTTCGATATATATATGAACAACTGTTCATTGACTCTATATAGTCTTTACTCGTTCTCTAATTGATTTGTTGGTATTTGTGATAAAACTTAACTTAAAGGCTGTTACTTGATAGATAGAACTCAATTATTATTAAGGTCTAGATAAACATGACACTGGTCAATAAACAATCAATCTTGATATCTCAGTCTTATAGGAAGTTAATTTTGACTTGAAAATCTCAATAGTAACATCTCAGACTGTGAAACTGATTGATACAGGTTCGAATCCTACGGAATGTTATCAATTCGTTGGGGATTGTAGTTACCCTTTGTTGACGAGTTCCTTCTGATATTAAGCTTAGGTTCAGAGTTTTTCTGTCAAGTCCTTCCAACCATCTAACAAATTATGTGTAGTGAATTTCTCAAGAAATAAAAGATAAACCATACTTTATATTCGTTCGAACCATAATAGCTCTACTGATTTTTTAACAGTGAATAGTGACTTAAGAAATGACTTTTTTAAGTTGTACTGAATAATCATGATTATCAGATCAAGCCAGTCGTGCCAGGTATGAACTATTTATCATTGATGGCAATCGATAATGGTCACTCACTATCCTGAACTGCTTGAATTAGTAAAAAAATTCTAATTCCAACCGAGGTACTTAAAGGTATTAGCTCATCATGAAATATGGAAGTTTGTGGTGTTGAATTCTTGGTGGAGTGAAGTTGTGAGTGCCCACTACTGACGAGTTCCACATTACGATAAACACATATCCATATTCTTCACTGGGTGTCTAACTGGTGTCAGTTCGTTGAATAATCATCACAAACCGTAATTCATCTCGAAATTCCAACTACTTAAGCAATAAATGTCTTTAAATCATTACTGACCCGTATTTATATATCAAGTTAATAAAACAGAAAGGAAAAAGTTTCAGTTCCCTCAACCCTGTAAATGTAAAATTCAATCAATGAGACTTTACAACCTCTATTAACGAAAATTTCGTGAATTAGTTTTAGGATTTTTCGACGTACGGTGTTAGATTTAAGAAAAAGGTCAAAGGTGGCTAGACTATCTACCTATTTAAGTTATTGTCATTGCTTATCTAAGATATGTAACAAAACTTTTCTTGTCCCTCCAGTTGTTTGAGTTCATGTTAATATTTAAAAAAATCGATCGTTGGAAAATTTATTGACAAGAAACTGTATTCCTTTGTGATCTTTTATTATAAATAGTAAATAACCACTTGGTTGGGGTCCACGTAACTATCGTAACCAATGATTGGAGACTCTAGGTGACATGGCTCAGAATCGATCACAATGGCGTAGGTGTATACACTCTCTGTCTTCCCTTAAACTATGATATTAAAATCGTTTCATATCTTTCTTTCTACCAACTAATTCTTTCTTCTTGTACTATGTCCTTGTATACAATCTTTCTTTTATATATTACCACCATTGAATTAACTACTATGAATCCAGTGTTCATCTTGTTTCGCTAATGAGGTATGGTAACTTGAACCGATTCATATATGTGCCTGGCCCTAGCTAATTGACTTTTTTCACTAACTTATCACTTTCCTTGAAAGGGTTTAGTAGCCATACACTTCATTTGTAGGTTGTATTTTCTATAAATTCATCTTAATTGGTTTATCATTCGAAATCAGATTGTGTTATGCAGCTGTTTTGTCATAGTATGGTACTCACTAAAACGTTTAATTCTCGTAATGAACTCTTAACTATTCTAACAACTAGATCGGCATCTAATAGTATAATTTCATTTTTGATCAATTTACAATATTGCTTGATAATCACTCAATTCCATTTATAATAACTGTTTCACTCCTGATATAATTGAATTCTACCAGTCATTACCATCCAATAGAACTTTGGGAATAGTTTATAGCAAGTCAAAAATTGACTAGTTTATTTGATAGGGTTTTGTGGAGATTTGTTTTATTCGTAGTTTGTATTTGTTACCGATATTTTTTCCTATGTATGGTATAATAGTTTGTATTTATGATATTGCATTTAGTATATATTAACATTGTTTTCTACCGTTAGAAATCTCAAGCTAAATGCCTAAAAATCAATCACTTTCTTTATATCTAGTTCTATTCCTCTTCCTACGTTAATATCTTATATTAAGTGGTAACTTGAACCGATACATATTTCTTCTTGGTTCTGATATGGATCAATAAATTGTTTTCCAGGATTCTACATTATTCTAACTTGGTTATTGATTGTAAAGACGTAGACAATGATATTTCTTAGATATTAATCTTGTTTTCGGTCATTGTAAGTAGGTATTATTATAATGAGCTTTTATTACTCAACATAGGATTATGCAAACGGGTGATTGTTATAGAAGTACTGTTTCTCATGGTTAGCTTATTTCAATCATGTTAAATAATTAAGAATAATTGACATGGTATTTACACTGGTTTGAACTCATTAACAATTAGATGTATTTACCGGTTTTATGCCAATTGATACTGCTCATACTTTCAGAGATCTAGTCACCTACGTTAGAATGAAGTTATCATTAAGTAGGTAGTTGTTTAAGTCATGAATTGTTGGAGAGAGCTGATCGATATGAATTGATATTAGTTTAACGATGAAGGTAAATGCTTCGATATGTCGGCCGACTTTTTGTTTAATATTACAGAATTAAAAATTTATGAATTATTTGACTGTTAATTAACTTTTTGGTTTCTTTGTTCATTGTTACATCAGGTCATAACAATAATAATAATGGTGAGAATTATAAAGCCCCATTGAATACATTGTATTTAGTTTGTATACTTGGAGTTGTTGTTGGTGGTATATTTCTATTTCTGGCAATTTTTATGTTTATTTACAGGTTAGTTGATTATATTTGTGCGTTTGTATTTTACTAGTAAACTCTAATGATCAAGGAAAAATTGATTGATATTGTTCAAGAAATCCATGTTCTTTTTTGTTCCCGCTTTTCCGTTAACTGTAAATAATTGTAAGAAGTTCATGATGGTAAAGTAGGGGGGCAACTTAGTGATTAATTTACACAACTTTCAACAATTCAAGTAGTATATTCAAGTTATGTTTTAAGTAATTCATTTTGGATAACCGACTAGTATCACTAGTTGGATGTTTAGAACTAGTTGGCAGGAACTTCTATTCAATCCAAGTTTCGTACTGGTTACCACTTGCCACCAAGGCACATGTATAATCTTCGGAAAACTGGTGCTATTTGGTGAATTCGTATGCGCATCACACAGCTTCACAGTCCGAGATGTTATCATTAAGGTATTTGTGCGACCATGGGAAGGAAATTCTTTAGTGTCGATTCTTTATCAAACGTCTTGATAAAAGTTTCATTTAGGATACAGTATATAGTTTTATAAACAGGTAATTGTTGACGGTTTCATTTTGTCACCCTAATCAAAGAAAGTTTAATCGACTTCAATAATGAATCGAATTGATTGTCCAATTTTCTTTGATAATAACGATATAGTCAATTTACAATTATAAGTAATTGCAACACGATAACCACGAGTGCTATCTTTCTGATTTCTCTTTTTCCACATGAACTTAGCCATTTTTTATTGATTGCCACTAATTCTAATCTGCAAACTTTTGTGTCTCAAGGTCATGTCATGCTAACATAAACATAAAGTTGTTCCGCTTTGATTTTGTCTTCGTTAAACATAAAGTTTTTCTATACAATCCTGCCTCCACTTTGTGTTCAATCTCTGGAGATTATTGTTGCAGTGTTGTGTAAAGATTATCATAGCATCGAGTTCGCAATAGATTTTATTCGTATAGAAATAATTCCGGTCATTTGTAATTAACAAATTAGTGTTAGGTCCAACCGAACCCCCAACTAGTCGTAATCGTTTTCTACAATATTTAACAATATTTATTTCAACCGCATTAATTTTTAAACAGCCACGGAGGTCCTACTCACTACTTTCTCGCGAAGAGGGTGCTTATTAAGTTGAGAGGAATAAAAGCGGATGTCTGGCACACAACCACAATTGATAGGTACAAGGGATCCATCTCAGGAAGTTAAAAAAAACCTATTCCAGACCACTGGTGGATATAGGCTTCATGATCCTCATGGAATAAATGGCGTATGAATCCATTGTTGGTCACCAGCTACCATGGGACTGTATCTCCTGATGTTGCTCCACTTTCTTGTGGATTAAACCACTAGATCAAAGGCTCAGGTAGTGGCTCCATTAGAAAACCAGCTGATTCGGTTTGGGCATCCGGACAATATCACAACCCACATACAAATTGAATGATTTGTGTGTTGCGTATATTCTTTGGTGCCTCTTTTCACCAATGTTAGTGTTTAAATAAATAACTTCTCATAATCATTCTTCCTTATTCTCACATCTTTTTACATGGGTCACATGTTATAACTTATTGAAATGTGCAAGATAATTATAGTTAAACACTCCATTAGACAACTGATGGGTCTGGCTCCGATTTTTCTGATGGAGTTATAGTTGCTCACTACTGAGAAACCCCTCATTACGAGAGAATGGTTATCCATTATTCCCCAGTTTTCATTGTTGCCGACGTCTGTAACCGACGTAGATTACTATTACTATTAATAATAATAATAATAATAATAATAATAATAATAAAATAATAAAGTCTTGCTAAACTTTCTAATAATTTTCTACTGTTTGTCTACTTTTTTTTCTATTCCAAACAAAATTTCAATTTTCTACTAACATTACATATTTAGACGACGGGGTCGATCTAATGTTTTCAACAAATCTTATTATAATAATCACAATCATAGAAAGTTCTGTGCATTTAGTAGAAATGGTTGTCAGCGTCGTCGTTGCTGTAGAATTAATCAAAGAAATAATGATCTATTATCACCAAGATCTATTAAACATAATGGTGGTTCATTACGCTTATTTAATACTATTGATTCAAATTCGACAGAATGTCAAGAATTACAAAGTTCCATGTATGATCGATCTACTGTCGGTGTTGGGGGTAGTAGTTGTAGTAGTCATGATAAATCAGGTTATGATCGACATAATCGTCTACATCATGATTATTGTACTATTAGTAGTAGTAATAATCAAAATGGTGGTAACCAAGATGAAGAATGTTCACGACGTGTTCGTAGTCGAACTGGTAATAGTCGTAATAGAGATTTAGAATGTCATAATCATCATCGTCGTCATCATCATCATCATTCAGAACATAATAATGAAAGTAAACATCGACGTAAACAACATAATCGTAATGGTGGTAGTAGTAGTAGTAATAGTCATGGAATAAAAGATAAAGAGGAATTATCAAGAAAAAAGAAACTTGATCGTAAGCATAAATCATCTAGTCGAACTAGTGCACCTGGAAGTAGTGATATTAAACTATTGGATTCAATTGAAGGACAATATGGAATTAATTTCTCTGATACTGAATTAACTTATAAACATTCAAATAATAATAATGATGATTATCATAATCATGAAGAGTTAAATAATAGTATGGATAGAATAATTAAATTTGGCAGTATGCCTTCATATAAGTAAGTTACAATATCTTTTTTGTTCAAATGAATTCATTTATTCCGATAGTATTTTTTTAAAGTGTTATCACTCTCAAATTTCATCTACTTCATATAAAATTCAGCTATCTCCATAAACTGATAATGTTCATATACACTCACTAATGACTAACTTCGATAGGAAGTTCCTTAGAGTTCTAGCTAGAAACCGTGACCATTGGAGTTAAGCTGTGTCGAGTGTCAAGAAGTTATCTACTGATGACAAGGGTAGATGATCACACAGTATTGAAGTTAGACTTGCACATGATCGGATTTCATTTCAGTGGTCTAAAGGTTAAGCGTTCGTGTGCGAGACCAAATGTTCTGGATTCGGTCCCGTATGATGGGGTTGTGGAGTCTCATACTTGGGTGAAACAGCCATACAATGTTTTCAGTGATTGGCTTATTTAAATTAGTTCGTAGTTTCACTAGAGTCCTACTATTTCCATTACACTATACTAGTAATCATCAAGTCTGTGAACTATGTTTACCGACTTTTTTTTGCTATTTATACTCGTCAAATATTGCTAACTACTGTCTCCCTTGATAGGCGGTGTTAGCTGACGTATGAGTTGGTCCGTACAAATCACTCAGCTCAGACAAACTAAAACGTTATATGTGTTCATGAAACTATTAACTGTTGTTCTTATGATAGATATTTCAGACCTGATTGAGGTGCACGTGATAACTGTGATAAGTAGTGATTGAAGATGTTAGGTGACTTGGCTTAGATACATTCACTCTTTATCTTAATTTATATTTAAACTTTCATCATTCCTCTATACATAACTCTTCACTTAATCTTTTGTTATTAAGATTTTCAATATTTCACATTCTCATTACTGTCTCATTTGATGCTGCAAATAAATTGCATGAATTGAAATATTTAAAATAGAATGTTAGATATCTGGACCATTAAAGACCATACTAGTAATTCAAGTTAAATACAGTTGTATGTCTATAGTTGTTTAAATAATTTAACTGAAAGAATTCATAGGCTTATATCTGTTGAATCTGTCATAAGTAAGATTAAGTGTTGAAGTTCTAACTGAGATCAATACAATGTATGAAGAGTGCATTCATCAATTCACCGATCTTTGTGTGTTGTGCGACGCTAATATTAAATTGTTAACTACGTTAGACTACTCTCTTTAATTAATGGATTTTTTTAAAGCTACACCTACTTTGAATATGACTTCATCACAATTTGTAACGTTAGAGAACTATTAACAATGTATTGCCTGTAATCCAATAACTGACACTAATCGAATGTCGCCTGTTTCAAACCTAATGAAGAGTGAATATTTAGTAAAAACATGCATGTTCAAATTTGAAATCAGACCGATTTTTCAAAGGTTGCTATTCATGGGCTTAAGTTAAGCGTTGGATAATTATTGAAGTTGTGCTGATATGATGTAACAACTTGAACTTAAATACATATATACCAGTTTCTACATTGCTTATGACTGACTAATTGACTATTAATAGAAAAAATTTCTTCTCTGCTCTTTTATTTTTTATGTTTCTATAACTAACCTGAAAAAACCTCACCAGAACCATCTTGGTGAATAGAAAAAAAATTTTTAATTCAAAGGATAACTGTCTAATTTTCAACCCACCCCTCCACATTGTCGGCTCCACATAAGCCATTACTTCCTATCCTAGAACATTTAAAATTGGATTTTTCCCCATCTGGAGGTTAACCACTAATGAATACACCTTTAGGTACATAATGTGGCAATAGCTTGGTAAGGATCTGATAATTAAACATGAACTACACTTATCAAGGGATAAAATCAAGAAAAACTGATTCAACGAAAGTTTCTCTTTTCAGTGAATTTATTCTTAAAACTGTATACTAGCGAAATTTGTACTACTTTTTTCCTCTCAATTATGAATTTATTTAAAAACATAAATATTGGTATGAAGAGGCACCAAATAGATATGCACCACATAAATCGTTCGATTTGTATGAGGGCTGGGATACTACCCGGGTGCCCGAACGGAAGCAGGTGGTTTTCTTAGGAAATCACACTTGGAGCTTTTGGCCGAAAGGTTTGATTCACAAGACAGTGAAACAACGTCAGGAGATGCAGTACCACGGTAGCGGGTGACCAACATTTGGTTCGTATGCCATTTGTTCACTTAGGATCCTGGAACCCATGTACACCATTGGTTTGGAATCAGGGTTTTCCAAATCCCATAGATGAACTTTCCGTACCCACCAACCCTGTTTAAGCCTCCACCGGACATTCGATTTTTACCCTCTCACTTTTATTAAAGACACCCTGCCGCAAGAAGGCAGTAAGTAGGACTTGGCTGTATGCATGTGGCGATGTGAATGCATTTGGAGAGGGAGAGTTGACTCTCTCAACTCTCGGTCGTACCACGACATTTAGGAACAAATAATTTACTGAGTATAATAATAAAGTTACAAAAAATATTAGTTTTTATAGAGAATGTTATAGATATTAGATTATTAATAATAATAATAATAATAATAATAATAATAATAATAACTGTGGAAAAAAGGGGTTGCACAATATGGCAAGATAAAATATTGAAACTAAAATGTAATGTAGTCAGAGGAGATTTTGTAATCCGAACATGGTCGGTTACAAAGAAATAACAATAAAAAAATCAATAATGATAAAAGAGAAGAAGATAGTAAATAGTATTGGAAAATTAGTGATCAAGACTAAAAAAGAAAAAAAACATCACGAATCTGTCAAATAAGTTTCCATTGTATCCATATAACCCTGACCTCTCTAATTATATGGCAAAGGTTTTTACAATGTAAATGTGAACGTACAACTCGATCGCCTTTGATAAGTTTCTATTCACTTTAAAAATTTAGTTTGTTTTGATTGAATGACCCCAATATCTGCAAGATGATTCTTATTGATCTTACTGATAATTAATATTAGAATTCATTTCTCATTTTGATCATGTTAATAATGAAAATGTTTAAGTCAGTCAGTTAGCAACAACGTAGAACTTCGTATCTACGTACATCAGTTCGAGTTGCCATACCACATTAGCACAGAGATGCAGTTGTCGATTCAAATCCCGTAGTGGTAGAGGTAGCAAGAGTATAAGTAGTAATCGGAAACATTAGGTTTCGAAGATGTGATTCAAGGAGTATAATCCAGTGAAATAAATTTGGAAAGAGAAAAAAAAGAAACAAGAAGAATTCATGAGATTAGAATTTGGGAGAACACAAAGAGTGGATGCATCTGCGCCGTTGTAAATGATGTTGAACCATGTCATTCAAGGTCTCTAACCATCGGTTGCTATTGAACTCAATGCTATACCTACGCCAGCGAGGCCACGGGAAACGGCATTAGGGCTTCCAGATACACGAAGCGTGAATCGAGTTCGTTCTTTATTTTGACATGATAAGGTCATATGAATGACGCTACTCTGATCCTGTATGGGCGTTTTGGAGACGCAGCACACATCGATGGCGCGTGGTTCTAAAATCTTAGCTAAGGAAGCCTGTTGTCCTATTTGGCACAGTGTTCGGACGTTAAAAGCTCCTACATGTAGTTTAGAGCGTGGTTTCAGGAGACCAGGGATAACGTTCCGCGTACTCGAATCGTTTGCACTAGAGGTGATAAAGGAACGGGAGAAGGGTTGGTCGAGGAGAGAGGTGTAGGATGGATTCGATCATGACCAACTTGGTCTCGTGTGTTGTTACGCGTATGAGGGCTGATGTCACTTCCCGTCTGCCCACACTTCGGAAGGGTATTTCTTGAGGGACCTGAAAAGGAATATGGATTAATGTTGGTCTTAACGATCTGACCGTAGAGCACAAGGGACAACTGCTTGAGGCCGGTCGCTCACGGTCTTTTTGTGAGAGGTTTTTAACATTTTTAGGGTCGACCTTTTCTAACCCCTTCTTTTCTTGTGAGAAGGCAGCATCGCTGCAGATGCTCGTTGTCCGAGGGAAACATCTTACTGTTGTCATACCTCTGTACAGTCAGTAGTACGACTTCGCCCTTAGACCTTGAGTTGCTGCTTTTAGTCTTACCGTTCTGCAATCGACCTGCCTGGCATGGCAGAACCTACAGAACCGTATGTTTCAGTCGATATAGCTCGGTTGGGTCATCATGATAGGCAAGAACGACCACCACGTCAAGGTAGCAGCTACGGTCAAAAATGTATAACCTTGAAATTGATTCATCAAAATCATTTCAATACACAAGAACTTTTTATTTACTCTCTGATTGTTTTCTCTCTGTAAAATTTGATTTTCTTAAATTTTTTTATTTATTTCAGAGAAGATAAAATAAAACAATTGAAACGAACAGCTGATACACTTCCTCCTTTTAAATCATTAAAAAATGGACAATCAATGAGTACAAGTGAAAATACTGTCTATTTGACAGATTCAACAGATATAACTGTTAATTTACCAAATTCTGACTTAAATGTACCAATTTGTGGTACATATACATCTTCACTTATTGAACCTCTTGTCGTTAATAATAATAATAATAGTAATAAACATAATATTAATCAAGCATCTACATTATGTGGATCAGTCAGTGTAACATCACCGCCAATAACAACAATAACTGCTATTACATCATTGATATCATCATCATCTACTGTACCTCCGTTATTTCCATTCCAATCAACTGCATACTCGAAATCGGTTTCACCTATGACTTATTTACCAACTGATGATTTAACTACTCAAACTACAATATCTAATTCCAATCAAAATTCATTATTATTACACAATGTAACAACAGCTGCATTAGTTGGTGCAGGTCGAGCTGGAGCTAATGCTGCTGCGGCAGTGGCAGCGGCAGCCGCTGCAAACCCCACGGTAGCAGAAGTAACAACAACAACGACAGTCATATCTACTGGAACATTAGATGTTATGTCGTCTAGTAATAATGATATGTTAATTGATACTTGTTCAACAACAGTTTCTCCAGTAGATACTTCAAAAGATGCAATGAATGATGTAAGTATAAGAAATATACTTTTGTTTTATTTTTCTTGGTGGTCAATATTACCATCATCGCGATAGAATTATTTTGTATCGTTTTATTCTATGTTCAGAATAGTGTATGGTCTGTCCAATAAATATGTGAACTAGGAGGCTACTATCAATTACCATAATTATGGAGTTGATAATTCAACTCTTAATCGCATTAATGAGATATTACATTTAACAGTAAGGAGTTATGGAAATTGTTAACATTCATTGAAATCATGAACCTATCTAAATTAGATAACCATTAGAAGTCCTGGATGGTCATCTCGTCCTGGGTTCGATTCCTGCATTCAGAGTCGTGGATACCTACAGCTAAGGAGTCCCTAACTAGAATGAAACGACCGTCTAGTGCTTACAAGTTTTCAATGGTGGTCCAACTTAAATCGGTTCATGATTTCAAAGAATGTTACATTTGAACTTTTTAATGAGTATATAATCATTATAAAGTCTTTGAGTGCATAAAATACTTAATTTTATCACTATGATGTTTAACGTATTAACTTTCAAATTAGTTGTTTAAATTCTCTAGAGATTATTATCATTCCCAACATCAATTAAATTATGGTTAATTTTAATCACTTAGTATTACAAGGTGCAGCGATGGTTTAGCGGCTAAAAGACCTTGTTTTCAAACGCTGGTTTGTAAGTTCGAATCCTATCCACTTCAGCTACTCTATCTTAGAAAGTTATTTATTCCTTAATGGTGGAATTTGATGTCAGTGACAAGGTAATATTGAGTGCTATTAGAAGTACAAGGGTGATAGCCACTCCTTGGTTCCCCATATCGTAAAATAATGTTTCTCCTCAAAGTATCTCAAAACGAAACTGGCTACCTTCAAGCGTGACAACAGAGCATAAGAGACAACGGTTTGAGTTCAGTGACGCACAACCTTTTTACAAGTATTTCTAAATGTGTTAGCTCCTTAATTTAAAGGCCTTATCGTCAGCGACAGGAGTTCATAGGTTTAGATTATGTGTTCAACTTTATGCTTACCTTTTATAACCTCTTCCTTGCTTTGTGGATCGGCAACATCAATCACTATAGATCGTGATTATCCGTGGGTAACACTTTAGTGTCATCACATCCCAGTCCAGCCAAGAGTAGGACTTCGCCCTCGAGCCTTGATTTTGTTACCTTTGGTCTTATCGAGTTGCTTGACCTGGTAAGATCGAGAAGAACGAATGTCCCAATCAATATAGCTATGTTGGGTCATCACAATATTGAAATCAAACCACTATATCAAAGCAGAAGCTACAATCAGGAGTCGGTTAGCTTCACTTATGTGTGGCTTGAATTTGAACAGTATTTGATAAGTGATTTGTAATACTAAACTACTGTGTCCAACCTATGTGGTTGTAATGTTAAAATTTCACATTTTCTCGGTGTGTTTCGTTTTGAATCTATATCATTGAATTGCGACTATTTATTCACTCATTTGTTATTGTTATCTCATAGACACAGTTTAACATCATAATGGAGAATTCATGGCGTCAACCGGAGAAAGGTATTTTAAAGAATAAAAATGAAGGCGGTAGTTACAATGTGAATAATTCATCGTCGATCAACACTTCCACTAATCGTCGACATCATAGAAGATCTTCATCATCAATTAATCATAAAAAACATCATCATCATCGTCATAGATCACCATCATCATCGGCAGCAACCGGTAGTCATCATCGATCCAGGCATAAACATTCAAAATCATCACGTCATCATCATACTACTCATAATACTATGGATAATAATGATGTCGGTGTCATAAAAAGAAATGATTCATTTTCTGATTGTTCTTGTCATTTACATGAAACTGAGAAAAAGTTGAGAAAACATCAAAATCATCATCATAGTCATAGTCGGAGATTATCTCGACAGGGTAATAATACTGTAACTAGTCGTTCAAACAGTGTAAATGACGGAAGTTCACACTTAGAATTTTGTGCAGCATTAAATGATATTAATGGTAATGATGATAGAAGCCCAAGTGGTAGTTCATCTCTATCAAGTCATGGTTTAGAATTTCTATCAAGTCATTCATCATCATCGTCATCATCATCATTATCTAGAACATTAGCTACATCGTCATCATCATCATCGTCTTCTACATCATCATCATTTACTGATTTAAATTCTCATTGTCATCATCATCATCAACAACTTCGTCGTCATCATTCACATTCTAATTCTCATTGTCATAAAGATCATGATAATAATGATGATATGCAAAGTTTAAGTTCATCATTCACTTCATCTACTACAAGTACTTGTTCAACTGCTTTAGAAGTTAATGTAATCAAATGTAATAATTCACAACAACATCAACAAAATGGATTAATTATTAAAGATTCTACTGATCCCATAACAACAGATCATAATCGTTTAAAACGATTTGATCTTATAAATAATAAATCAAATCGTTTAAACCAACAATTAAAAAAAAATTATGATTATTGTTCTGAAAATTATCAAACTATTCAATGTGTTAATAATGATAATAATATTGGAACCGATTCTACTAATATTGAAAGAGAGGTTTGTTTATTTATTTGTTTGTTTGTTTTAATTAATATAAATAATTAGTTAGTCAGTCACAATATACAACTTGGTACATCATATACATCGTTTCAAGTTGCCATAATCCATTAGCACAGTGAGATAAAAAAATTATCTGACTAAATCCCAAGATAATATATGTAGTAACAGTATCAGAAGTGATTGTGTTTGTAGATCGCTAATGACTCAGCAGTGAATAAAATATTGATTCGAACCCCCATCGATCCAGTTCCTTTGACTCTGTAGATTGCTTTAAAAGAAGATTCCTTTGGAGCGATATGTCCACATTTAATTAATTGCTCCTGTATCGAACTAGTAATTGTTTCATGTTCTCTTTTTAAGAGCCTAGGCCGGATAATGTTCCGATATGCGTTTGGACAATGATCGCTTTGTGCGGCCTATGTAACGTGCCCCATATGAGCAAGTAAATTTATATATACACATTGATGTGTATAAAGCAATCTACGGAGTCAAAGGAACAGGATCGAAGGGGTTCAAATCAGTATCAGAAGTGATTAAGAAGATTATTCATCGAAGAATATGACTTAGAATTTAGAGAAAGATAAATAATAGATTCATCTGAGCTACCATGGGATTGCATATCTTAACGTTACTCCACTACTTTGTGGACTAGATCTTTAGGTCAAAGCTCGGAGAGTGACCTGCTAAGTATCTAGTATCTATAGACATTCACACTAAATTTTTAGAACCATTACTTAAAACAATCATAAAATATATAGATAAAACAGTTAAAATGATTTATTTATTATGTATTTTTCCTGTTATAGGATCAACGTAGTTCTCATCGACACAGTCGTAAACATCATCGTCGTCATTGTCGATATCGTAAACACCATGGACATCATAAACGTCATGGTGAATCTAATCAGGAAATCTCCGGAACAACTAATCTTACCGGTGAATCATTAGGATCGTCTTCTAGTACGACTAATAATTGTAATTCTGGAATTTCTGAAGCATCTTCATCATCTTCTGGACTAACGACAGTCTCTTGTCATCGTCGACGTTCAAGAACACGAAGTATAACAGATGAAGATTGTACAACTTCCGGTTCACGAAGAAGTAGTCCCTTACCACCAGCTCCAACAATATTGTGTAATGTAGGCCAACAAACTGATGAGTTGAGTTTATTGAAAGTAGCTGGTCTTACAATATCGTCTAAAACTGGTAAGTTACCTACAATTGATTTATTATATTTATGCACTCTGATTTGACTGCTTACTTCAACTCGAAATCTACTTCTAACATATTGGTAAATATTTATCCATATGAGTTTGGTAACTAATTGAAAAATGGTTATCTTACAAAATTGACGTTACTGTATACTTCAATCTATACCAATCAAACGGTTATTTTATTTTGCAGTTATAATCAGTGTTTGAATAACAGCCAGTATCCAACTCTGTTAATGTCTAACTTCAACAAATCCAATGGTCTAAAGGCTACGCATTCGCGCTCGAGACCGAGAGTGCTGGGTTCGAGTTCGTGGATGCACACTGCTGAGGTGTCCCGTACTAGGACGAAACGGCTGTCCAGTTTTTAAATGGCGGTCTAACATTGATCAATTCATAATTTCAATTAAAAACTCAGCAATCTCCACAATCCTATATTGATATTTTACAATTATAATTAATGCTTCAATAACAGTCGGCTAGCACATTTATCTTTCAATCATTAGATAACATTTTTACCCTCCCCCCCCGAAAAAACACTTCAGTTCGCTCAACAACTGGCTGTTATTACTAACCGTCATGCCTAAACGGTATGGCTCAAAAGCGAATACATATGCATGTACTTAGTAAGTAACATTAATTATTATTCATATTTAGCTAATAATTCAATATTGTAAGTATACACAAAATGTTATATTATGTACATTTTGTGATATTGCCCTGAAAATTATTCACAATGTTTAATATTATTGAAATGAGTTATTTGTTACTTTTGTTAGCATTACCAGTAGTATTACTATCTCGGATAGTTCAGATCATGAACTAAACTTAGTTACATAACCACTGAAAACCAGGAGGCATTGAACAACTGTTTTGTACTAGTACAGGACTCCTGAGAATTACTCATCCATGACTCTACCTAAGAAGATCAAACTAAAGAGTATCAGGTCTCATCGGTCCATGTTGCCACATCACTTTAACTCAGAGATTAAATTAGTAAGACAAATTGAAGATAAGTAGAAGTACTAACAGTATCAACCGGGTTCACAGTGAGTGCTTAGTCTTTATACCCCTGAGTTGAGATGTAGACCATCGGATCCCAACTCAATTGTCAAAATGTTATACACCCAACATGAGATCTAAATATCCTAAGTTCGAACCCCATCCTCGAGTGAACTTCTCAATGTACAGTCCTGAGAACTCCCGTACTAGTACGAAACAGCTGTCCAATACTTCATGGTTTTGTGCAGTTATGTAACTAAGATCGCTCCGCAGTGTAAACCATGGAATTTCCCAATCTCTGCAAATCCTTTGTTTTCATTATACTTACATGAATGTTTGTGTGCGTGAGATTGGGTGTATTTACACTCCCATATTTATTGTTTGTGTTCTTACTTTGAAGGTGCTAATTCTGAGTCAGCGAATAATAATAACAATAATATCACGAGTAATAACGAAAATCGTAAATCTTATTTAGATTCTGAAGGTGAATGGGAGGAAGTTGAATGTAATGAATCAGGTTGTGAAGAATGTCAAAATTCAATTCACACTACAACAACAACGGCTACTACTTCTGATAAAAGTATTAGTAGTCATGGAAATAACCAATCGAAACATTTAACAACTACATCACCTCCTATCCTTTCTTCACCTTCTTCTCATCCAACTATTATTTTACAAAATAGAATAAATCAATTACATTCAACATCATCGAATAATTTCAATCCATTATGTGTAACATTAAATAACCAACAACAACCATTGTATAATCTATCAACTCCCCCGACTAATTCATCATTATCGATGATCAATAGTAAACAACAATCGAATTCAAATAATTCATCGTTAGGTTCATCGAAAACATCACGATCTGCTGGTGGATTTAGTAGCAGTGGTGGGAGTACTGGTTTAGCAAATTTATCATCGCCACCACCACCACCTCTACCTCCTCCATCATCTTTGTCGACCAACAATCCTATTACTACCATCACAACAACTACTACGAATAATAGTAATAATGATAATCATCATTCGAATGTAACTTCTATGCCATTAAAACAATACAAACAATCACAGTTATCAGGAATGAAACAACAATATATCGGTATGATGATCAACAATAATCAAACGAAATTTAATTCAGGTAAGTTCAATTTAATTCAATATTCAGTCTGTCCCTTTTTTAAAAAATTCTTCGTTTATCAGAAGGGGTTTTGTGGAGATTGTAGTAATTTCAATGGCTAGATCATGAGTCAATTGAAGCTAGACCACCGTGGAAAACCTGGAAGCACTAGACGGCTGTTTCGTCCTATTATGGGACTCCTCAGCAGTGAGCATCCACGACCTCGCCCCCTGCGAGATTCGGACCCAGGACCTACTGGTTTCGCTCGCGAGCACTTAACCACTAAACCACTGAGCCGGCATCTCGCAGGGGGCGAGGTCGTGGATGCGCACTGCTGAGGAGTCCCATAATAGGACGAAACAGCCATCCAGTGCTTCCAGGTTTTCCATGGTGGTCTAGCTTCAACTGAATCATGATGTAACCATTAAAATTCTTCGTTTGTTTTAAATAAATCATAATTTTAATTCCTCATACAGGTTTATGACCCTCATTTGGTTCTGGTTATTAGGTGGACGCTCTCAAGTTCAGATTAACGTCGTTCAAAGGTCGTCCATAAATTATAGCCTCACCTATATGCTTATATTTTTGTGATCAGTTGATTTGACTCCAATTCGATTAAATAAATGAATATAAATCTTCCATTTTAACTTCATGTATATTACAAATTAGTTAACCCCTTTTTGTGTGATAGCGGTAATAAAAAAGGCATCGGCCTCATGGCTTCTGAAGGAACTCGGCTTTCACCATGAGGCGTCATATTTCTTCTAAATGAAGACCTTCTAACTCCCAGGGCAAAGTTTAAATAGTTTGAATTATTTTTTATGGTTAGCGTTTGTTTTTTAGCGAGTTAGTTTTCTACGGGATGAGGTCGCTAACCCCATGTCTAACCCCTCCTCCTTTACCCGGGCTTGGGACTGACAGTTACTCTGGAAGAGCTACAGTCGGAGTTTATAAGAAACCAAACACAAGTTAAATTGGATAAATTTATTTCAGACATAGACATTAGAAATAAGAAGCAGAGAAGTCAAGCTTATTAACTTCTTTTGTGAAAGTGTGACTCAATATTTATAGCCAGATTAAAATGAACTAGATTTATGGTGAATAGAATAAGCGTTACATATATATACGCCAATATGAAAACAGTTAAGATTATAAACAAATAATTGATAAGGTCAAAATATGACTCAAGAAGAATAGATAAATTACTCTACCCGGAAGCTAGAATAATCCCATGTGGACATGACATGGTACTAGACACTACAATATATTTGTACTAAATCAAAGTAGACAACAAAAAGAACAACAATGAACTATGGTTAATTAAAAAAATAATAAAATTGAGCGTCGAATAAAATAAATTTAGATGAGAAAGAAGAGTGATTGTTGTGTACATTGATATGTCTTTTTATTGTTTGAATCTTAGTTTGGTCACTATCGAAAAAAGAGGAAATATTAGATAGCTGTTTCATTTTGTCTACACACAAATCCACTAAAGAGGTCCAATTCTGAGACTTTCAGTCTCGAATACCAACGTTCAACCTTTAGCCCACTAAATCAGCATCCTAAAGTGTAAATATCTAACATGAATCAACTCGCGATATTGCGTGACTGTTTTCAGTTGCCAAATATGTAAGACTATCTCACCCGGCATAGTTAAATATCACTGGTCACGGATTCTCACTAGAACTCCAAGAATTAGATCTTAAGGTTAGTCACTAATGAGTACATGATTATTATTCGTGTCATAGAGATTGTAGAATTTCCCTACTTGAAATTAGTGGTCTAGAGGTTAAGCGTTCGAACACGAGACCGAAGGTCCTAAGTTTGATCACCTTTGGCACATTCGTAGATTTGGACTGTTGGAGAGTCCCTGACTATGAAAAAAAAGCTGTCTAGTGCTTCATAGTTTTCACTGGTGGTCTAACAGAACTCTTTAGTTTTTTCCATTGGCGTAAAATATCCTCTTTTTATTTTGTATGTATTTGCTTTACTTATAAGTAGTATATTGCTTTAAAGTGAAATATTTAAATCTAATAGACGGTAGACTTTCCGTCCACTGAGTAAATTTATTACTTTTGTTCATGGATTACGTTTTTCAGCAGAAACAAACATTTCCCCCTCCGAAAATGAGTAGTTTTTGTTATGCTCAAGAATCTTCTCATGAAATCGCATAAAACTTGTCTATTTTGATTTAATCCGATATCATTGTAAATAAAGCCTGTGATTATGGTCACAGATCTTATTGAATATCAATTCCAAATATGTATGTAGATTATACATAGCGCTAAAGCACTTGAGATCACTTGGAGTCATTAGGCTGCTTTAGTTCCTTTGAAAACTAATATATAAGCGTACATAAATAACAAATGACTATACTATAGTAGTGTAAACGATTTGTGGAGATTCTAGTATTTTTACAACTGAACTCACGAAGTGATGTTAGCTAGACCACGATTTAAACCTGAGAACACTAGACCGCCGTTTTTCCCTAGTGCGGGACTCCTCAGATGTAGCCATCCATGACCTTGAAAGTGGGGATCAAACCCAGGAGCCTCCGTCTCAGTGATGAGATCGGTTCATGATTTCAATGGAACTCAACAATTCCCGCAATCCTATATTCACAGTTGTTTATGTATTTATCCTCCACAGACAATGAATGAAGGGTAGTTCAGGATCATGCATTGATCCGAGTTAAACATTAACATCATTGGATGCCGGTTCAGTGGTCTAGACGTTAAGTGTTCATGTGCGAAACCGAAATTCCTAGACTCGATTCCTGGTTGTGGGGGTAGTGGGTTCGCACTGCTGAGGAGTCTCGCACTAGGGTGAAATGTTCATCCTGTGTTTCTAAGTTACATAATAATCAATAATTAGTTTAGGTTATAAAATATATCATATGAAAGGTGATAAACTGAACAACAAGAACAGTCGACTCAATATGAATAAGCACAAAATTGATCTAATCCAATATGACCGGACGGATAGAAAATGTATCGAATCGTAAAACAATAGTCTGTATACGACTAACCTATGATAATACAAAGAAGAAAACTGTTGAATAAAAAAGAAATTAGTTACTAATTTCTTACTAAAAGTTTTACCATTTTTCTAATTTTTTTTATGATCTCATTCTCTTTTTACTTTGCTATTCAATTTTATATCCATCTATGCATCAAATATACGTATAGAAGAATATACTGGTCAACATAGTGAACCAGAAGTTGATGCACATTTAAACATTGGATCAATGATAAATCGTCAAATAAATGAACAACAAAATTTAGTGAATAAATTACAAACTGATTCTAATCATCATCATCATCACCATCTTCATCATCAACAACCACAACAACAACAACATTATAATCCATTTTATCTACCATCAAAGTCATCTGTAAAACATTCATATACTCAATCATCAGAATCACAATCTCAATTAAATAACTTACTATTACATCAACAACAAGTCAAGTCATCAATTCAAAATAATAATAAGCCTAATTCTTTACAATTATTCACTTCACCTGAAATAATTCATAGAGGTGTTAATAATATGACAAACAACAGATCTGTGTATGACTCAAGTCTTCAAATGATGGATAATAATAACAATAATACTCATAATAATATACAAGGTGAGTTAGTTACCTTTTAATTGATAATAGTTGTTGTATAACTAATGCACTGATGTGATAGGCTTCTGTTGGGGAAGGGGACCTATAATGTTCTTCGAAATAAAGTTTAAAGGGTTCCTGAAAACGTTGTGAAGCATTTTATCCAATCAGCATTGAATAGAAGTTTCCTAGAAACATTTAGAAAGTGAAGAGTCAAGTGTTATATTTCTGATTGGATGATTATTTACCCTGCTACTATGTTTGGTGGAAGGGTTCCACAACTTTCCAGAAACCCAAGGCCGTCTGAATTGCTATAAATACCCTTAATTTTCTGCATATAAACTAACCTTGGAGTAAAGTGTTCTTCGGATATTTCGCTCCTTTTCTAACGTGTTCAAGTTGTGTAGATTTACCTGGAGTTATTAGAAAAGCTTAGGAAACCGATTCAAGCGTTCAATCAGAAGGTTTATCAGCTTGAAGATACTTGATCATTGGGTGTGAACTGTTCTTTTTGTTGGTATATATTGAGAGACCAACTGGACCAACTGAATTTAGATCTAATCTATTAACCTATGATGAAAGAGTTCAATTAGTTGGAAGATGATTATATATCAACTAACAAAGGAAGTCAATGTTATTATGGAAATAAATGTCAGTCAGTCATTTAAAACGTAGGACCAGACACATATATGCATCGGTCCAAGTTGCCACACCTCATTAGCACAACATAATGAACATCAAATTCATAGTAGTTAATTCAATGGTGATAATATATAAAAGATTGCATATAACGATATAGTACAGGGATAAAGAATCAGTTCGTAGAAAGAAAGGTATGAAGCGATTCTAATCTCATGGTTCAAGGGAAGATAGAGAGTGTACACACTTACACCATTGTGATCAATTCTGAGCCATTTCACACAGAGTCTCCAACCATTGGTTACGATAGTCGCGCGGACTCCAACCAAGTAGTCTGCATCTACCAACATGGCTCAGATCAGAAGTTAGTGACTTAGAGGACTGTTTTGGTTTGATCGCCCCTAACTTCCTTCCATCCGTCTCCAACACTAGTCAGCATTGCGTGTCATAGTAATCGATGGTCCAACCATCTCAGTTGGTGAAGATTTACAACCCCATCGACTGATTTACCATTCTTCCCTAATACCCTGAGTCTAACCTCACTTTTACTTATCCCATGATCACAGCAGATGCGAGCAGTATTTCCAAGCCGTCTACAAAAATAAATATAGAAAAGAAAAGAAATAAAACTAACGATGACAGTTAATCACAAACAACTCCATCTTAATCAGAGTGACTTGATACTTATAGAATAATTAAAAACTCATTTCTTCATAAACTAGACGATTGTGTTATTTAAAGCAATTAGTCCCTTTGAGAAATTTCGATAATGTAATAAGAAGACGGCGATTATCAGAACTATGTGATAACAGATTAGCGCAATACATTTCGATCACCCACATATCCTTGCTAAGAGCATTTATATATAAAAATAAAAGATCAACTAGACTGGAAATTGGGTAAGAGGAGATAAGGATAATAATAATAATCTGAACACCATTCAAAACCTAATCACTCTAGATATTAAGTCAATATTACCATGGGTAGGTTTAAGGTAAGAAACAAACTGTTTTTGAATACACAAAGGGGGTTTGAATTTTCGTATGACTAAGGCTTCAATAAACCTTAGTATACGCCCTTTTACACTTTTATACAATACCACAGAAGCCGAGTTTAAATCAATCTTATGCCCTGTTTCAATTATATGTTCAGCAATAGAGGATGATGGATGTTTATCCTCTGCTCTTAGTGGGTCAGTTGATTGTATTTGTTTCTGCAGCCATTTTGGTACATGTTCACTCACCCTAATGTTGAGATCACGATTGCTCCTCCCTGTGTATGTGTGACCACACACACATTTAAATTGGTAAACACAATCGTTTTCGTGTCTTTTAGGCTTTGGATGAAACATGCACGTTGTTCTTTCTTTGACAATGACCTTTGCTGCGCAATACGTTTTATTGATGACTGATTTAAGTCTTTGTTTCAATAACAGGCTATTCGGATCACCTCTAAATGGTAAGGTGATGTAGACAGGCTTTTTTTCTACCCGAGGCAGTAATGTCATTTTGAAAACAAAGGAAAGGATCGGTAAAAAGCTGGAAAAATCTTGTATTATTACTAATCATGTTAATTTATTCCCAGTTAATCCTGATAAGTATGTCACTAATTTATCTTCTATTGTATTATCTGCTAATGAAAAGGAAGCACTTTCTCTTGGTTTTAATTTCTCGGTCCCCACAACACAAATGTTTGAATTGGAAGTAAATGCCCAATTTGAAAATCTATACGATCAACTGAGTACTCTAACCCCTACGTCTTTAAATAATCAAAGCTGGTGTAAAGCTAAACTGGTGGATATAGCACACCAATTCCATAATGTTGAACTAAGGCAGAGAAGCATATTAATTTCTCAGCATTTTAAATCATTAAAAGAACTAAGAACAAACCCTGATATTGTCTTGTTAAAACCTGATAAAGGATCAGGCGTAGTTCTCATGAATAAATGTGAATATAAAAGTAAGATGTTATCCATCCTCAGTGATGAAAGTAAATTTATGCCTGATGTTGAATTTAGAGGTATTGGCAAACTAGAGGGAAGAGTAAATTCAAACCTAGAAAAATTGCTACACACGAATATTATTAATAAAGAAGAATTTAATTTTCTAAAACCTATCGGTTCCGAGTACCCTCATTTATATGGACTACCTAAAATTCATAAACCAAACAATCCTTTGCGTCCAATTCTATCAAAGTGCAGATCACCTACACATAACCTGGCTAAATGGTTAACAAAGTTATTGGACCCTATCCGAAGACATCTATGTAAGTATTCTCTAAAGAATTCTTTTGAATTGGTCGATCATTTAGGTGATTTCAAATATCAAGGAAAAGACAATGTGTTCATTTGATGTGAATTCCTTGTTTACAAATGTACCTTTTAAAAAAACTACTGATTTATTATGTGATTACATATCTGTAAACAATCTTCAATCACGTGTCTCTGTAAAAATTCTTAAAGATTTACTATTATTATGAACTGACAAAGTTCATTTCACCTTTGAAAGTGAATACTTTCGTCGAGTTGATGGGGTTGTTATGTGTAGTCCGCTAGGACCATTATTAGCAGACTTGACTGAGCCATCTCGTCTACTCAAAAGTATATCTAGAAAGAGGAGCTGATCGTTCTTCTCCTCTTCACATGAGAGACTGATATGGTTTTGGAGAGTGTTGAATTTATTTAATAAACAGTACATATCCTCTTTTCTTTCATAAACAACTAAGATATCGTCTACATATCTCTTATAAAGTGACATGTTTTCAATTAGGTCGTCAGTCTGATTTTCAACATGTGCCATGAACACATCTGCTAGTAATGGACCTAGCGGACTACCCATCAACTTGACGAAAGTATTCACTTTCAAAGGTGAAATGAACTTTGTCAGTTCATAATAATAGTAAATCTTTAAGAATTTTTACAGAGACACGTGATTGAAGATTGTTTACAGATATGTAATCACATAATATATCAATAGTTTTTCTCAAAGGTACATTTGTAAACAAGGAATTCACATCAAATGAACACATTGTCTTTTCCTTGATATTTGAAATCACCTAAATGATCGACCAATTCAAAAGAATCCTTTAGAGAATACTTACATAGATGTCTTCGGATAGGGTCCAATAACTTTGTTAACCATTTAGCCAGGTTATGTGTAGGTGATCTGCACTTTGATAGAATTGGACGCAAAGGATTGTTTGGTTTATGAATTTTAGGTAGTCCATATAAATGAGGGTACTCGGAACCGATAGGTTTTAGAAAATTAAATTCTTCTTTATTAATAATATTCGTGTGTAGCAATTTTTCTAGGTTTGAATTTACTCTTCCCTCTAGTTTGCCAATACCTCTAAATTCAACATCAGGCATAAATTTACTTTCATCACTGAGGATGGATAACATCTTACTTTTATATTCACATTTATTCATGAGAACTACGCCTGATCCTTTATCAGGTTTTAACAAGACAATATCAGGGTTTGTTCTTAGTTCTTTTAATGATTTAAAATGCTGAGAAATTAATATGCTTCTCTGCCTTAGTTCAACATTATGGAATTGGTGTGCTATATCCACTAGTTTAGCTTTACACCAGCTTTGATTATTTAAAGACGTAGGGGTTAGAGTACTCAGTTGATCGTATAGATTTTCAAATTGGGCATTTACTTCCAATTCAAACATTTGTGTTGTGGGGACCGAGAAATTAAAACCAAGAGAAAGTGCTTCCTTTTCATTAGCAGATAATACAATAGAAGATAAATTAGTGACATACTTATCAGGATTAACTGGGAATAAATTAACATGATTAGTAATAATACAAGATTTTTCGAGCTTTTTACCGATCCTTTCCTTTGTTTTCAAAATGACATTACTGCCTCGGTAGAAAAAAAGCCTGTCTACATCACCTTACCATTTAGAGGTGATCCGAATAGCCTGTTATTGAAACAAAGACTTAAATCAGTCATCAATAAAACGTATTGCGCAGCAAAGGTCATTGTCAAAGAAAGAACAAGGTGCATGTTTCATCCAAAGCCTAAAAGACAGGAAAACGATTGTGTCACATCCCACTGTGTTTACCAATTTAAATGTGTGTGTGGTCACACATACATAGGGAGGAGATGATTAAGTTTTTGATGGAGATCATGAACCGATTGGAGCCAATCTGTGTCGGATAGAGATAACTATCTACTTCAGCACAATGGAAGATGGTCGCTCAATTTCGTGGATTGGTTGAGGTTAGACGTTAACACCATTGTATTCCGGCTCAGTGGTCTAGAGGTTAGGTTTTCTTGCGCGAGATCGTAGGTTCTGGTTTGAAATCCGCTAGCGGGAACGTAGGTGCACACTGCTGAGGAGTCCCACAATAGGATGAAACGGCTGTCCAGTGCTCCCAGGTTTCCAATAGTGGTCAAACATCAATCGGTTCATGATCTCAATCAAAAAAATATTTGAATAGTTTGAATTTATTAAATGAATGTTTTTCAACTGTTTACCTCTTCGATTATATTGAAAAAGTGACGCTGACTGTGACTACATTGAAGTGACAAAGATTATTTATGATTCTGTTTTCTTATTGCCCTCTCTCTCTCTCTCTCTCTTGGTAAAATAGGTTACATGATAATGACAAAAATTTAAAAGGATTTGAATAAGCTTTAAGAATTGAACGAATGAATGAATAATGAAACAAATAATTCATTATGTACTAAGGAACTGCTTAGTAATTATACACCTTAGACCTTTAGGTCTAACGGAAAATACCTAATCGGTTAAAATCATTTAGTCAGCAATCAATTAATTTGTGATATTGCTCAATGATTACCCATCGGCATTGTTGAAAACTGTTACCCTGACAATATATTGGAACTCCACCGGTTATTTTTTCTCACTAAAACTTCAGGAACATCTTGAAGTAAATCATATTGGTGAGCTAACTATGATAGTTTATTTTAGCAATTGAATTCACCAGTTAATCTAAGCTAGATCACTATTGAAAACCTGGATGCATTGGACTGCCGTTTCGTCTTAGTTTGGGACTCTTCAGCAGTGCACATTCACGATCTCGTACTACAATCTCCAAAAATCCCCGTATTGATATTATAGTTTAGTTGAAGGGGTTTTGTGATAGGTAGGTTAGGCACTATCTGTGGGATATTTGACTTACAGGGTCTTTGAGATGTGTTCAGAAGGTTGAATGCAGTTAGTGACCAAATCCTATTTATTTTAAATAAATAACTAGTTTAATGAGATGATTGCACAGTACAACAAATAGAAAATAATCAAGTTCACTTACAATTGATTAATTATCCGCTAAGTAATGATCATCTATGAGAAACCTGACGAACTGTCATGAGTTCATTCCCCCTATGTATCGAGTTATGGGGATCTATTTGTGATGAATCCTAAAACAGGACAAAACATTTATCCATTCATTGCATTTGTTCTTTTTTTTATTAATTGTTTATCTGTAATTACAGGTTTGAACTATGTACAAATTTAGATTAGTTGATTCAATTGGTTGCTAGTACCATATTATCTCTGAGATAAACAATCTAACCGAAAGCCAAGTATATAGATATTATGCTGAATAAACCAATTACAGTTGTTTACTGATTATTATTAATTCTAATATTTATCAATTGATTTGTATATAGGTAACTTGGAGTTATACTATCAACATCCATATGAAGATGTTGCTACAGATGATTATGCTGAAACTAATAGTCAATTAAATTGTCCATCTCTACAACAAAATCAATCTTTTAACCAATCACTTTTATCTCACTATCCACAAAAACAGTTTCAATCGTATTTATCACCAACTGAACCATCACTACCACCAACATTAACACCTACACAACAACATATATATCATCAACATGATAGTTGTGGTCCATTATTATTACCGCCAATATCTACTAGTTCTCTGTTGTACAATAATGAAGTGAACAATCAATTCGGTTATTCAAGAACGGCAACATTGGATGAAGATGATAAATTAAGTTTAGATGAAGATAGTGAAATGATGCACTTTGCAAATTCACAAACGAATAATAATAATAATTCAGTTGATATTACTATGACGACAACAACAACGACTACTATTACTACCACTGCTACTAATATTAGTAATGGTAATAATACTAATAATACTCACTTGAGTAGTATGTTTAATCCATATACTGTTGCGTTTATCAATAATAGTCCATCAAATTATATTCAATCGAATCCATCACACCATACTACTTTATCGCACTTTAATCCATCATATTCTGTTTGGAATACTAATGATTCAGTTCATCATCATCATCATATGAATAATAATAATATTAACAACAAATATAGAATAAATGATAATCCGACAATCATTTGTCCTAGTAATCAAATGGTATGTTATTTACTATGTTGAGTAACAGTAATATAGTTGTAGTGTTGTCTAGGATTGGTTGTCGTAGTTGTTTGGACTGTGTTTCTCTCTCTAGTCGCAAAATACTGCTTCATGACTATGTCTGAGTCAGCTTCTAAACGAATGACGGAGGAGTGAAGTAGTTGAGAGAGTCACTTATCTCAGAGGTTCAACCAGCCTCGGTGAGGGTTGGTGTGTGATGAAATCTCAGCATGAATTCAGAAAATTTGTTTAACCTTTGCCAACTTACCTTATTGATGGCGCAGATGAGATGTTCATCTGGTGACCACAGGATAAGTTTACTGATCAGCATTTTGCTCTATTCTACGTTATAACTATTAAACATGGCCTTTAAAACTAGATGATATTCGTAGGTCGCAAGTACTTTTCCACAGATGCCTTCGAGGAGGATTGCTGGCATCACTAATTGAATGACCTTTTAGATAGGCATAGAGCACTAGGGAATAATCTCAAATTAGGTGGCGAATCCCTGAATCTTCAATCGAATTGGTCAAGACATGTGTTACGTATGACCAACACCAGGTGGTATTAATTGGTGTAGGAGAGGTGGTTGAACGAAAACTAGGGGCGACCAAAACAAGACATGGTAACAGTCCTTGTAATCATCCAACGTTGATTTTAATCATGTTGATATAGGTTCAGACTGCCTAGTTGAGATCAGCTTGATAAACTCAATTCAGTGGTTGGGGACGTTGGTTGACATGGGTTTAAGGTTGTATGCCGATGATGAAGTAGAGGAGAGAAGGAATAGAAGTTAGGGTTTTCATCACATACCTACATCAGCTGTACTACAATATCCTATTGTAGCCAATGTAGATGAATGGATTTCGCACAAAAATCGAACAGTCTATATCTTAGATCATTCATGCATATTTGCTGTTTTCTGATGGGCGAATACGTCAAAAAATTATTACAGTCGTTTAATGAGTTGCTCGTGATCGCCCCTATTGTTCATCTTTGCCATTCCCTCTTCTCTAATAATATTCTTAACGTTCAGTTTTTCTCATTACCATCGCTGCTGCAATTACTTTTACTCTTTTTCTATTCATATCGTCATGCTAAGATGCTGATATGGTAAATTAGACCAACGTATCAGCCTCTATAGTGAATATTACTGACTATTATTCAAAATATCTAATTGTGAAGTGACTTTTTGGGAACGATTATTGATTGATTTCCAATTTTTTCCCACTGTTTATTTTACTTCAAATAGAATAGTGCCAACGATGGTGTTGTTGGTATTACAGGTTCCAGTAGAATTACACATCCTCTATTAAATGATGTTGATGATGTAGGCAGCGATTTTAGTCTGTCTGCTTTTCGTCGTAACGATGATATTTGTGGCCCTTCATCGTTATCAAATCGAATGCTCAATAATAACAATGGTAATAATAATGATCTCATTATGAATAAACTCTTACCATCATCACAAACCACACAATTACAACATAATAATTATCAGATAATTCAACAACAATCCACGGAACATCATAGTTCTAGTGATATTGCTGGCATGATGGATGTTCGTAGTAATGATGGAACATGTGATGAATCGGATGCTAGTTCACTACCGGAACAAGGCTGTGATTTAATGCATTTAGCTCAATTACGTATATCAGCTAGACCGAATCCATTATTAAACGATTTAGCAAAACAACAGGTAATGTTTTCTAATGTGGAAAACCTGCTTTTTTCTTTGTTTCCGTTTAGTTTAATCGATTAAACACGTATACATATTTATTGCAATTATGGCAGGGGATGTTACCTTAAACCAGCCGTGTAATTTTGAAAATTATATCGTGGATCGACGCCAGTTAGAGAACCATTAAAGATCGTGAAACGTTGGAGAGCTATTTCATTTTAGTATGGGGCTCCTCTGTAATGTGTATCCACGACCTCATATGGAATCAAACTTTCGTGTCCCGTAGAAAGCACTGGGTTTGTAAACGATTGGATTCGCACTCAGTGGCATAAGGGTCAAGTGCTCACCACTAAGCCGGGCGATGGTCTTTGGTTCGATCCCCGATGGGATCTCGTATGAACATTACCATTTTTTAACTTAATAATATTTATTGTTAAGTGATCAAAAGAAAAACTTGAGTCCTACGGAACATCAATCGCACCTTGAACAGCTCAGTAATAACGTCCTAAACTGTGGAGCCAATTGATCCGAGTTTTCATCCATCAAAGAGCGTCATTTATATCGAATTTACAATTACACAGGTTTTCCGATCGACTACCTCTAACCAAGGTACACGTGATATCGAGTTACTTTGACTATTAGTTACCATATCACAGGTTAACCGAAAGAATCCAATTAGTATTAAGTTGTACTAAACAATAATGATGTTTATCACCTAATGTTACCTATCACTACCTCTTCCACTACGGGATTTGAATCGATAACTGAATCTCTGTGCTAATGTGGTATGGTAACTCGAACTGATGTACGTACGTACGAAGTTCCACGTTGTTACTGACTGACTTTATCACCTACTACTTAGTAATCAATTAATTGTAATGAGTATTCACTCTTTTATTCGTTTTATTTTAAAACAGGTACAAAGAAACAACAAGTAGACAGTAATACTCTCTATCTGTCTGTCTGTCTCTCTCTCTACGTGTGTATCTATGATTTTTTAGCATAATTCGTTTGACAATAATAATAATAATGCAACGAGATAGCGACTACCACTACTACCAACATCAATGATCTTTTCGGAATTTAATCTAGAAGCTGAATAAAAGTGAATACTCTTTTTACTTCCATACACCAACTTGTGCATTATACACATGATCTCTCTCTCTCTCTGTCTTTAGGAGGTAATAAAATGGTACTCTTTTTTTTTTCTAAACAATAAATCAATAGACATGTTTTGTCTTTTTGTTTTTCTATGTGTGATGTTGTTGTCTGTGACTGAATTTGAATCTTCTTCTCTTTTTTTTGCCTTATAATATAACATTGTAACTATGGTTGTTTATATCTATCCATATAAGAAATACAGATTTATTATAGGGATTATTCATTTCTATATTTATAATGAGTTTCTATGTGTATTTCGATAGTTGGTTTCTCGTTTGTTTGTTTGTTTGTTTTTTTTGTACAGTTTTTTTATACGTAATTTCCTTTCTTTTTTTTATACATGAAAAATGTTTCTTTTAACCAATTTATATACTTTCATTTATATATATCTGTATACATATAATCTATGAACTTATTGTTAACTGATGATAGGCTATAATTCTCTCCATTAGCCTTAATTATTAGTTTCTATATTGAATGAAGATTCATTTCTTTTCTTTATATCTAGTCTTCTTCTTCTTCTTCGGTTTTTCTCGTTTCATTGGGGGTTTCTTTTTGTTACTCACTTCTTTGAAATAAGAAAGTGAATTGGTTAAATTGACCATTGAATAATCATAACAACATAAACGGTTTATGTGTGTGTGTGTGTGTGTATGTACGCACATACGTACGCTCACTCACTCACTCACTTCTTCGTTCCTTTCAAACATAAAACAGACACTGAAATCGAAGGAGAAAAGAGAAAAAATAAACTAACTACAAATAGCAATACTGTTTTTTTTTATTATTATTATTATTTCAATTATCCAGTTGGGGGGTGGTTGTTTTTCTTCTTCTTAGACAAAACAATTCAACATTAATATTCTCTTTTATTGAAACTTTTTGAACTTGTTCAATTTTTTTTTTAACTATTAGAATAATTCATAAAAAGAGAATTTGTATTTTATTTAATTCATAAATTATGAAATCCATGAGCGGGGAGGGGAGTAAGGATGTCCCCCCTTTTTTTTACTTTAGGACAACACTATCAATTTTATTATAAAACAAAGAATTATTATCGATTGATTATTGTTGCTATGTCAATGAATTGTTTCTATGTAAATGAATGAATGCATTTCAATTGTGCATTTGATCAATGTTATATTCTTTATTATTATTATTATTATTTTAATTCTTAGCCTTGATATTTGTTTTTATGAATCATTTTATTGTTTGTATTATACATGATTGTTTTGTCAATTTTTTTGAAATTTTAATAATTTAGGAAAAGTTTTATTGTTCATTTAAATGAAAATGAAAAGAGGGTTTTTCTTTATGTAAACACCTTTCTATACAATTTCTCTTTATATATATTTACATACAATAAATGAATATACTATTTGATGATAATTGAGAGAATTATATTCAGTTTTTTGTTATTGCATGTCGTATACTCTATGGTGTAAAACCATCTACAAATCAATAAAGGTATAAATTCACTGATGTATAAACAAAAATAGGTAGTGGCTAATAGTAGAGTCCAATGTCAGTTGGATATACTTACCATGTACCAGAATTGATGTTTACTTAGTATTGTTTGCTTCAAATATCGCGTCATTTACTTAGCTACTGGCTTATGTAATAAGGTGAAGCTTAATTCATTTGTATTGATTGTTTTCATTTCCCCATTAGTGTTTTTTTGCGTATATATATATATATATATATACGTTCTGTGCGGATTGCCTCGATATGGTCATGTCACAAGTATTTCTTAGCAAAGATAGGTGGTGGCTAGCGGTGTATTTAACTAATACATGCACAGAGAGAAGAAGTGAACATGTGTATTAAGTTGTTCAATAACAAAATATTTAGCTACGAGTTTAGGAACGACGAGTTTTCAATCAGTTCTTGGCAGATCAAAATGTAAAAAAACAGACTTTGTAAGTGGATAGCTCATGAGAAAGAAAAATAATATTAAAAAGTGTAAACAACTAACAAGTTTATCACTGTCTCTTACAGGTTAACATGCCTGTAAATTTGAAACACAATGATATATAAATTTGTTATGATAAAGATCCTATTTCGAACCCTTGGAAGAACCCAAATAGATTTTTCGAAGTTCCCAAATTCGTCCAGGCTAAGGAATAAATTTTAGAATCTAAGATTAGAAGTTAGAGCCGTAATGTACGAATACTTTGTAGCCATATAGTTTGGAAGTTTATAGTTAAGATTAGCAACTTAAAATTTAGATCGGTATTATGAAATTGTGGTCAATATTTAAGATTATTTGCTTGATATGTACAACCTACATACAAAGACTCGAGCATTTAATACAATCACTTTATAAAAATCGTAATTTGTAGTTTTCATTTTTAACCCTCTCAGCACTATACAGAAGTGCTTGTACTACCTATCTTGCGCGAAATAATTATTATTAATTTTAACACATAGATATTGGCACAAGGAGGCACCAAATATATATGCGCCACACAAATCTCATTTGATATATGTGAGGGCTGTGATACTGTCCGGGTGCCCAAACTGAAGCAGGCGGTTTCCTTAGGGGGCCACACCCCGAGCCGTCAACATGAAAGTCTGACTCACAAGGCAGTGGAGCATCGTAAGGGGATACAGTCCCATGGTGGCCGGTGACCAATGATTGGTTCATACGCCATTTGTTCCTTCAGGGTACTGGAGTCCATGTGCACCATTGATTTGGGATCCGGTTAGAGCGCCGGACATTCGCTTTTCGTCCTCTCATTTTCGTAAACAACACCTGTGGTGTGAGAAGGCAGTGAGTAGGACTTCCCTGGCAGAGGCTGTATACGCGTGACCATGTAAGAGCATTTCGAGAGGGAGAGTGGACTCTCCCCACTCTCGGCCGTACCAGGGCGTTTGGGGACGACATAAGATAAATCACTTGTTTCCAACTTTAGCTCAAACGCACTTGACAGTTGTTTACTCGACTCTGATTCACCTGTTGTTCTAATATTGTTTTGTTAATTATCAACTTGTTCGCTGATGTATTAATTGTTGTATTCATGTCAAGGAAGTTTTAAGACATTGTAGAGCCGCAATTTCATGGTTGAATCGTGCTCAGCATTCACAAAACACCACCCCATCCGCTTCATTTGGAATAGTAGTGGATAACTTCAAAAAACCTGGACTTAATCCTCGTGCTATTTGACACTCGAACGAGCTTCATAGTAATTGGGCTAATCTCCACATTGCAACTTGGTCGATAGAACTAGACTAGCACCGAAAGACTAGATCTTGGTCCCTATTTAATGATCAATCGGTCGTAAATGCCAAGCTCATACAAAAATTCGGTAGGAACTGTGGACTCACATTACAAATCGTTTCAGACTGTAAACTTTTGAAGACACCATGGGTGGTTACCACGATTTGGTAACGTCGTTGACTTTGATGTACATGTTACGCAGGAGGACCATATTATTTGTAATGAAGAACTCCGAGGGATTGTTAAATGAGTACAATGCTGATCAATAAATGAAATCCACTGTTACAATATGCCTGAGTGATCCTTGCTCACTACAGCAAATTATTGGCAAAAATAGGCAAATGATGTAATATTATATGACAAGACCATTAACCAGAAGAATAGTTTTTTTTGTCTAATAAAATAACACGCTCAAACGCAATATTATTACAATATAATGTGATAAATTGACAGAGACGGTTGCAGGACACTAGTTATCCTAGATAGCTCACACTTCGACGAATTAAGAACGGAGTGATATTTCGCCTAACTCTTCCATTTCACTTCAATTAACTCTCACTTATTGTGACGTACCAACCACATTGAAGTTGGTTAAGCCCTTTGAGGTAAAGCCTATTAGATTTTCTATTAGATGAAAACCAGGCTATAAGGCAAACATATCCGCTACAAGTATGTTTCTAGGGGAAATCGTGACTCTTGGATCAAGTATACGTTGCATGCATATCAGTAATTCATGTTTCCGCTTATGCATGATGATGATCGCCATTCCCTTCACTTGTATATGGTGCTCATTATTTTTATTTTACAGACCTGTTTTTCGTTCTGGTTAAACCGATCATTATAAGTAATAATGATGTTATATATACAAAGGACAGTCGTAGACGATTTTTAATGCCTTGATGAATGGCCACCGAAGTTACAGCATATGAACTAATCCGATCTCTTCCGAACGCCCAAGTTAGATCGTGAAATTACCCCCACTACCCAGTAGGATCACAAGGCTTTTAGTCGAATTTTGCTGCTTAAATTAAATGTCGCTTGTTGCAAATTTCCTGACACGCAATTCGATTTAATTCACCATTAATTTACTTCTCACCAAATAATAACTGTCTTGATCAATTATATATTTGAATTTTACTGGGACACTTTCGTCTATTTAAGATGTTCACCTGTTGGTACTTCTTCCGAACAATTTTTGAAGGTACAAGATGAAAAAGTGACTCAATTAGATAACACATACTATATGGTCTTTTTTCCTAAATGTCATCTTACCTCTATCGATAAGATCATATAATCTTATAACTAAATTGGCTTATATTTCTTCTGAACATCAGTGGTTGATAATCAGCAATCTAGACCACTAGATGACTTTCAATCGGTGTGCGTAACAGGTTCAAACCCCCCCCCCCCACATACACTCTATCACTTCACTTTTAAAAGACTAGTTATATCTATAGCCACGTAAAACTGTACACTCGATTGTGGAATAATTGCATAGAGACAATATGTGAAATTCATATACAACATTTTTAAAGCAATAATTAATTTGACAATGATCCGTATATATTCAGTTGAACATTTGATCTATTCTCTCTCAATACACGAAAATTTAGGAAAATACTAATGTTTCTGTTTTGATAGGGTCTTCGGAGGGTTTTTTTTACTTATTTCCTGTAGTAATAGTAAGCACCTGATAAACCGAATTTCCTGCCCTGTATCACTTCTGAGTGTACTTCACAGATAATTCGTTATTACCTGATAGTAATCAGAAAGACGAACATACAAATGATTTATTTAATTATAAAGCTTCGTTTACATAATTAGAAAAGTAACATGCTCTTGTGTTATTATTCTTTCCATAGATTGATAAACAATAAGGATTATACATTCATTAGTCCTTATCCGTTTTTAATTCAGATGAAGTTTTACGCAGCCTTACAAGTTTTTCTACAAAATAATTACTTGTTTAGTTAAGCAATCATATTAATACCTTCACATTGAATTAAAGCATTTGTACGAGAAACAGGTAAAAAGATATTACCGCCGAAACGTTCGTATATAGGCTACGAAATAAGTGGTTAAAAACAGCAAATCAATTAGTTAGGCTACCTGTGAAGAAACAGTTTGTTTCAATTCGTTTTGAACATTTTCTTGTATAGCTATCTGAAAAAAAATTGTCATAAGCATAGCGCAAAGACCAGACATACCTGTTCATTCAACGTAGGCATGGTTTGATGCTCATTTATTCGGCAGCAATTTAATGTACAGGTGGATAGCAGAAAATGGTGCGCTTGTTAACTAGTAAACGACATTGGTTCAGAACACATGTCTTTAATGACGGTGAGCGACACTAACTGATATTTATTTTATTTAATTAAACGCATAAACATTGGTGCAAACAGGCATCAAAATATATAAGAACTACACATATCATTGAGTTTGTCATGGGCTACCGCCTAATTGCCCAAACTGGAGGTAGTTTTCCTAGGGGATCACGTCCCGAGACTTCAGCCGAAAGGTTCGATTAAAAATCAGTGGAGCGACGTCAGATGCGGTTCCATAGTATCCGATAAAAGAGAATAGGTTTATATGTCGTTTGTTTCTTAGTATCCTGACGCTTATGCCCACCATTGGTTCGGAATCAGAGCTTTACAACCCTACTAAGTAGATCCCCAGTGCCCACCTACCCGGTTTAAGCGCCGGATATAAATTGACAAGATCAAAAGATCCATTTATAAAAATTAGCAACCGTTGTAGTTTTTGAAATAGAAACACGTCTGAACATGATAAACCAACACATTTTTAGAAATACAAAATTCTACATGAACAGTGCGCCTGATTTTTCGAAGAAACTCAAGTATAATAAAGCAGCATTGGTGTGGACATAATCCAAATACCAAGTGCGTAACTAATTTCTCCATATTCACTAATCATCCAAAGTTAGGATATTTTTAAATAACAAAGATTAACTGATCAGCCCATCTAGGGGCTTATGAGTATCGTAGAAGCGATCTATGGTTGTGAAGGGAAACCAACCTATTTCAACGACATGTCAGCAGCACTTATAACTGAGTTGTAAAAGTTGCTGACAGTAGGTATTAGTGTAGATAATTATCAGGTACATTTAACAGTTAAATTGGTTGCTGTTATTTGTGACGCTCCAGCTCGCTGTAACGTTCGGTATGTTGTTGGACACAACGGTACCGCTGGCTGTGACAAATGTCATGTTTTAGGGATATGAATGGGTGGTCGAATGACTTTCCCCAATGGTGAACACGAATTGAGAAATGATGTCAC